TAACGACCCCTTCAGAGGTCTAGGATTTGTAAGTCTAGAAACAATCGAGTTGATGGTAGATCAAAGCTTTGGAATTCAATGTGGTACGTTTTCAGCTTCCGTTGCTTCGCACTATGGTACAACATCATCTAATATCATCGTTCCCGACATAAATTAACTTCAAAATTAGGAGGTCTGAAAGTTATTGACAAAGCTGTTGGTGTGTATGACTGTACCCCATACCAGGATGAAATAGATATCCAATATTTCTTGATTTCCGATAAACCTCTGGTTGTGGTCATTTATGAAGTGAAATATATTCTCAAGTCTCCTATGCGAAGTAGATGGTAAATTAACTGCTTTTCTCCTAAAGATTCTAATTTGATTTTCTTGCCCTCTACTGATGAGCTTTAGCGATAAAAAAGATTTTATTTTAGCAGTTATCATAATTTATTACCAGGTATTTGAATATGATTAACCACTTAAAGAAGTCTTTTAGTTTAAATATACAAACCGTTTATAGGATCAAATTGTTGCTTGTAAATTGTCAAATCAGTCATTCCCAATCGAACTTATTATCGCAACTGATGTAGTTCGGTTTGAATATGATTAGTTATGAATGGTTACATTACTGCACTGGATATCATTTACTTGACAGTTGTAGTTATTCTAATATGAATACCCTTTTAAAGAACTGTTTACCAATGACTAACGCATGATATACAAAATAATCTTTAAACTGGTTATCACATTTTATATAACCATGCATTAAGTACACCACTGTCTACAATTTTAAGTGTACCATGCAGTTACTTTTTCTATAGTAACGTTTGCAATACTATTTACAAATTAAAGTTTCTATGCAATCCGATCATCCTGTTAGAGTGAATTCAAATAGCTTGTTGTGCAATCTTCATTCGTAAAGTATTTCCCCTTCTTCAGCCGTAAAAAAATCATTTCTAGTAGCTGCAGCATTCAATTAGCTTTGTTTCAGCAATGTTCATTATCTGCATTTATCTCAACACAATCTAAGATTAAATTATTACCACCTTTTCTAAAATTAAACCTCATACACACTCAGTAACATTAAATTCGAAACCAGCTTAAATTCATATCTATCCAAAGCGTGAAAACTAACAATGTTTATAGAATTACTTCACTTCAGATGATTACATTTAAAAAAATGGACCTCTTTGATTCATTACCAATGCTTTGACTTACCGACACTGTTTAAGTGAAAAAGTTTGAAAATTTCATTACATTTTGAAAAAACATACTATTTTTATATATAAAGAGTGGAATAAATGATAATTCTTCCACTACTCTACATTTCATAGTATTGTTCAGAAGAAAAGAAAAGAATTGCAAATAAGAGAAAATGAATTCCCCCATTGTAAATATATATTTACATATAAGTATGTATATTCTTAGCGCAATAAATCAATACTGGGCAAATCAGTCAAGTCAACACGTATGTAGAATGACCCGAAATAAACTTTTCTTTTTTTTGTCACTGAATAAATTATAACCTTAATTTCCAAAAATAACATAAGTTCTTTAGGAAATCAGCTGGAAAAAAAAAACAAATAGTTACATTGCCAGAAATAAAAAGTTGGACATGTTAGTAGATGTATAATACCAAGTAAAAATGATATAATACATTGGTTTAAGGTTTATTGTTAGCAATATGGTATTAGTTTTAGTTAGTTATCTAGATAGCTGACTTGTTTATGTTTGAAGTTGATCTGAAGGTTTGCCATTTTAATTCGGTTTTTACCATTTGCGAATAACGTTGACTAATTTAAACTAGGCATTTATACTTATGACTGTAGTTAACAAATTTATTGTAAACCATTTCAGTAAAGGTATTGAATCTTCCTAAGTGTTCAGTTCTACTGTCATCAGCTTAATGACTTTTAAATACAAAATAAGTACGAGTATACAGTGTTTTTGTTATTGAATTATGACAAAGTTCACTAGGCTATATTAGTAAAATAGTGACTATTCACTAAGTATAATACCATTTTGTTGAAACTGATGGTCTTTGACTCCGTAAAATCACAATAGTGCTTGTTAAACATTAGATCTAATGAATAGGATACAACATTTTCAAAATATAATATTGAAAAATATGACACACAAAGTTGTATATATAAAAGGTAGATAAAAATCAATCTATGGTGCATTTTATATTAATATAGATTTACTACAATTATTTGAATTTAAAGAATTCAAAAATAATGTCAGTATCAGCTAAATTTCAATATCTCCAGATCTTGTAGAGAACAACAGAAGTGGTAATGGAAATGACAAGCATTAACTGTACAAGTAGACTGTTTGCTTTTCTTTTCAGTGTAGAGCTGTTCTTTAATTTAATTTGTTTTGTTTTTTTCAAAATTTCTAATTTTAAAGTCCTTCTCTCCGTCTAAATTGAATCGTTTTCTGCATCCAAAGAATATGCATTTATCAAGATACTATTTTTTCTTGAGATTTATAAATGAGCATATAATTTTATTCACAATTACATTGACTAAATGCCGTTGCTGCTTACTCCATTTATAGAGTTCACGTAATAATGTTCGCAGACAACTAATCCGTTATAATATTTTAATCTGTTAGGGTATTTATCGACTAATAAACTACTTGAAGACCAAAAATAAAGTGAGAGATTATTGGCAGTGAATTTTCCTGGAATGGATTTCCTGAAATTATATGAAACCTGGTAAATCTTTCACAGTATGATAAACAACCGAATAAACTTTATTATTTTCTACTTTCTTCCACCCACGATTATGTGCGACCTCACTCATCGTCCGGCACGCACTGCTACAGACCCGACAGGATTGAACTACACTGGTCAAGAGTTCCCAATGGTACTCAAAAAAATTTCCTTACGAATCTAGTCACTAGCGAGCACATGATAATTTTCATTATAACGTTGTGGATGAAAATCGAAAATCTCCACAACCATATAATAATTCTATCGATCGTCTGATTTATTATTATATTAAATTTCTATCTTTTCCATGAATTTAAATTGAAGCCACTCTAGTTTAAAAATTTTAAACCAAGCTCTCATTTCATTTTGTAAGCAATATACTGAAACGAAATTGGAATATGTGGTGAACACAGTTTTTACTATAAATTCTTACTGTTGAACATTGAATCTCACAGAAAATACACATTTTCTAGCAAATCAAGATTTATCCAATAATCTGGATAAAAATTCTATTACAAATCCAACGTTATAATTTTCACTTCAAAACTTAGTATACCCCATTTTTTGAAAACAAATAAAATCAAAAGATATCATCAAATTAATTTTAAAAGAAAGATTTCAATGAACCTGAAGAAACAAATCTTTTTATGAATTTATCTACCAAATATAATTCCTGAACTCAAAAAAAAAACATTTTCTACGTCTAATTACCTTTTATTTAATTGTTTCTTTTCACACCAACTCTATGTATTTTATTTCCAAATTAAATAAAAATAAAATCACCATGTTTGTTGAAATGAGGTAGGAAAAAAAATTAAACCTAATTGAACACCATCAAAACTTCTCTGTAATACACTAAGTATTTAGTTGACTAAAACTTTAGTTTTTGTCCACAAAATAGAATAATGAACAGCAAACACAATAAAAGAAAAGAGAGAGAAAAATTTGTTAGTTTTATAGCAAACTAACCCTAATAGATATTAACGAGTTAAATATTTTCTTTCTCAGTAAATATTTATTTGCATTCAATGAATGAAAAATATTAGAAATTTATGAGTAGAATAAATATATATATATATTCAATAATTTAATCGATTTGTTTTTCTAGTTCAAAAATGCCGTTGATTTTTATGAATTGACTTTTCATGACGTTAGATATATTTTAATTAGGATAGAAAAAATTTTATCATTTAGAGGGGAATTTTGTTTTAACAAAATATAAGCAGTTTTAACTAAATGCCGTTTAGTTGGATAGAATAGGCAAAAAAAAACTGACAGCTCAGCTATGAATTATCAAATTTATTCTCATTATACAAGTGAAATTCATTGAAACTTCAACGCTTTGTAAAAACTTGAAAGTGTTTGTATTAAGATCACGTCGAAAAATCATCGTAACACCTAATCAGTGTTATCAATTTATTACTCGGACTTTGAACTGTGACTGGAAACCTTTCCTCAGTTTATTTTCATTTTTTTAAGAAAAAGGGCTCCACCGAAACGTTTAGCAATTTTGTGCACTACCTAAGGATGAATATCAGATTTCTTAAAATTATTGAAATACTCTCATAATTGCTTGTTCACTGTTTTCGTAATCTGTTGTGTAGAAACACCATTTTTATAAATACTTAACTGTTAGTGACTTATTGAAAATTTAAAGAAGATGGTTAGTAATAAATACTGCCAATTGTTAAGTGACTCTTTACAGCAGAAGAAAACTGTTTATATCAGTTAATGATTTTGAAAAGCGCATATAAAATTAAAAACAAATGAAAACTAAAAATTCTATACAGGGATCTACTTCACCACAGTTTTTGACTGTATAGTAACATATAATCAAGACTTCATGTATCGAATTCGATACATCCAAGCTTGATAGTAATAGTAATATAATTAAACTGCCAAGTTGGAGAACACTTAGTCGCAATAACAATCAATACAGTAATGCACTATAAAACCTTTCAATTATTGATTGTGATACTCTGAGTTAATCAAAAACAGTCAAAGAGATTGAAGCACTCTACTGCCCTGGATTTGGCCAGGAAAGACACTTTTTAGAGCAGCTCTGACTTTTAACAGATAAAAAGATATGTTTATAAGTCATCATACAAAAATCCTCTATTGGGTATCGATTAATGAAACCTCCAAACTCCCATTATTCTCATTCAGTCATCTGCTCTGGGATAAAACGTAGACAGCTTGTATATCAAACTCGGATGACCATACAACGTAATTAGTTGCATCATAGAAGTTACAACGAAGAAAGTAAATAAATATCACAGTCTTATTCCCAAACATAGATTACCTGATGCTTTTATTTCATTTTGTATCGATGATAAAATATTCATCCAAGTTTTTTCGTCATTTATAAATAATTTTGTCATATATATAATTAATTGAACGACTGAATTTATATCTGTTATAATAAGAAATGATTTGGAGCCCCATAATTGCTGTAAATTCATTGATGTGCAACAATTATGACATTTATCATTGATTGAAGGACGAACTGATGACTGTGTATCAGAAGTATTGTTTGTGTTTCGTTGAGCATATATATTATAAATTGAATACAATGAATTATGATTTAAATGGTCACATGTTTCATGAGAAATTACATCATCGGAAATTATATTCGCTGAGGAATCTTTATCACTGAAAAGAATTGTGTTCTCATCACTTCGTCTCAAAACACAGTTGGCTATTTGATGTTCTATTGGAAAAAAATACAAAAGAGACAGAAATAAATTGAAGTGAATTATATTCTTATTCAATGATGAAAATAAATTAGGCTGTAGTTTACGATTACATCAGAAAACATTGTGTGTATTGTGCTTGTTACAACCTGAAAATAAGAAAATTCCATAAGTTATCAGCAAAAATATGTACCTGGTCTTCAGCCTTTATGAAAATATATACTTTGACCTATAAATGTAAATATCACACTCTTATCGAAGGTCCGTCACTGCCTGGACGTCTCAAACTATGAAGCTCAGTAACAAAGTTGTATGTTCGTCCAACTAAACTGTGTTAACTAGCATGAAAACTAGGTTCGGAAATTCCTGCCAACTCCCTTCAATTATCTAACATGTATGGAAACATGACGATTTATTTAATGTTCTGATCAAGTTTTAACCATATGAAACTTGTAAATTTTAATGACTTAAGTCATGGTTTCACTCTCGAAACGGAAAGTGAATAAAATAGTATGGATGTATAAAAACCACCGAAAACATACTTCATAAGTGATCACAAAAAATATGTATATAATCTAGAAGGGAAAAGCTACCAAGACTAACTGATTATGAGCCCACTATCTAACAGGTTGTTTGGATTTAAAAATATGAACTTTCAAGAGTTATACTAGGCTGGTTTCCTTCTTAGAGTAATAGAGATTGTGGACTACCGAAAGGTTCCATACGAGGATGAAATGAATATCCACTATTTCCTTGTTTACATCGGTTGCTCACCTTAATTCCATCCATAGCTTTATTACCAAATCGCTTTACAATTCAGATCATTAATTATTGACAACTAGTATGATAAAATCCCATATATTGATCACCAAGTGCCAAAATAAGTACGTAAAACAGAAAAGTTTAGTTTTAGGAATGATATTATCTTGAAACATTATCGAAGAAGTAGCTTTTTGATTTGATTATCGAGGCGTAAATTCTTTTCATTATTTATTCGAATGAATAGTGTGTGGAGTTTAGTGTAGTAAAGATTTGGTTTACGAGCTTGTTGTATCAAAATCTGACAAAGTGCAAACTTTTTTTTATTTATAAGTGAATAGAAAAGTTATCGGAAAATTAATTTGTCAATCAAAACAAATCGAGACAGGTTTTTTTTATCTAATCTCAGACACTCTAAAAAGCTAAATGGTCAATCGATATGTTAACCAATGATCAGAGATTGGGAGAATTTTCTTCGGTCTTAACTAATTTAAGTATATAATGCAAATATAGTGTAAATACAGTTTTACAGGTAACAGAACAAATAATCAAACATTTGAACGATAAGTAATGCATCATTTATCATTTATCCTAATATAGAATACACTTCACATTAGATCTGTGAGAGCTAACAGTTGTAAAAAGAAATGATTAACCAACATAAATTGTCAATAAAAACAAACTGTCAGGTCGATGTTCATTGTTGTTGCATATATATATATATATATATATATATATATATATATATGAAACGATTTCACAATAGATTTATCTGATCAAAACTAATTATCTGTATAAATCAAGGCGAGAATTCACTAATTTATAGACACACTTTCTTTCTTGTTATTTATTTAAACCAACTTTTGTTCTACACATTCAGCAGGTGATGAGGCGTTAATCTTTTATCTTAACAAGTAATGTAACATTTTCTATAAAGACAAAAACAATAACAATATTTAGATAGTGTTTATCATCGAAATATTTACTTTTTTTATTCACGTAGCATATAGAAATTACTTTGATTTCAAAATAATTCATCATCAATTGATATCACCTGTAAATTAACTGAAAAGTCAAAGAATCCAGCATAGATATCATTTTTTAGTTTGAGACTCTTCAGTGGCACGCATCCAGCCATTGTTGGTTCACATAGCAAAAACCACCACCAAAATAATATTAGCTCCATGGACAACTTAGTAAATCACTTAGTGGCTGATATATTTAAAGTGTCTGCTCAAGGAACCACTATAATACTATGAATAATAGTATGAAACTACATAAAAATAAAAATAATCATCACCAAAGTCAGTAAATGACAGTCACCTACTGAATGAAAACAGGAGTGAAAGCGACTGGATTCCAACTTATTTATTGGAAGTATTTATACTTGTTAAGTAGGCATTTATTCTGAGTTCAGTTTCGTGTGGAATTTCGGGAGCGAATCGTTGATGAATTCCATATTATGACAAGACAGTTGTTTAATTCTTTCAGCCTTTTAATATCTTACTAGTTAATGCCAATTTACGATATCAATACACCATTCTCTTTGAAAAATGTGATTCACTAAATGGGGCAGTTGTTAAATAAACGTTATTTTGTTTTGTTTCTTTAAAATTCATGAAAATTACACCACCAAAAGTTCATGCTTTTGTAAATTTCATACCATTTTAAGAAGACTAAACAACATTTCATTAAAAAAGTAATGAACAATTAAGAATAATATTAGGTCAGTTTACCGTCAATTCTAACTTTTGTTTTGCTTAAACTGAATGACTTTCAAATTAATTCAAATAATAACGGTAATAATAAAAAAACATTAGAGAAATAATTTTACTTCAGTAAAATATGCATATATGAAAGCCGATAGAAAGAATAATATCTAAGTATAATTTTTCACTAAGAGTTTGTTTGTATTCAAACAATCAAATAATGTATGTGTATAATATACGTTTGTATACGTAAATTTCTGTCCTAATTCTAAAACGGATATTAATTTGAATACTGATGAAAAAAAATATTTTCATTCTTTATTAGCTTTATTTTTTGGTTGAATGAATTTTCGATTATTTCAATTCAACTGACATTAACACCCATATTGATAAAAATAAAAAACATGTAAGTGCTCAGGTTTGTAATTCATTTCACTAACTAAGTGTAGTCATTGCAAAAAAAGATTAAGAATTGAAAATTGCATGTTACTCCACGTTATATTGAAATAATTTACTTAGATTCGACTTAAATTTGTATGGTTGATGGTGTAATTGATTCATTCTTTATCGATTGGAGTGGAAAGTGAAATGTCAATATGAAACTGAAAAAAAAGATACGTGCCCATCAGAGACAATCATGTATAATCACAGGTTGACTGAAGTTAACCTTACACTATCGGATTTTGGTTCATTCGTCTAGAGATTATTTATTTGTGCGTGGGTTCGGTCTCAAGTTGGTGGTCTCAGATACACTCTACTGAGAAGTATCATACTAGGAAGAAACGGCCGTCTACTTCTCATAGGTTTATAATAGTTTTCTAACTTAGATTCATTGATGATCTCAATGAAAAAATACTCGAAAAAATGGCCATTGCATATAATGAATGACAACATGTTAATAAAGTTTGCAATATCTAAATTTTGTGAAGTTCATAAATTGATTTCAAACTTATGGTTGCATGTTAATATAAAAGTCTAGCGCGAACAACTGGAACACTAAAAGATCATGGTGATGATTAACGTCTTCTTCCGCTGTCTATATATCATCAATGAAATGCTATTGAATAAAAAATGCTACTTAAATACAAATATTATGTATTCCAACATAACTCTCTATTATATCTCTAAGTTGCTAGTTAGTTTGATAAAGAACGGTTGGAGTAATTTAGATAGGCACCAAAAAATCGACCAGTAACTACAAAACCGAACATCTGATTCGTCAAAATGAAAGGTGTACTTGTTAAAATCGATTTCTGAAAGTTAAATCTCAACAAAAATACCTGTAATATTACGAGGACTCATACTGCGAAAATGTATTATGAAATATATATAACTGTGGTAAAATAAAGTCTACAAATGTAGGTTACCGAACCTCTGTCAGTCATTTTCTAACTTCGGTGCATCTTATTAGCTTGTTTTTAAGTGAGGCTAGTTTGAAATCTGATTACAATACAGATCGTTTGATAACATATACACTGAAAGAATGTATCCTCCGCTCAAAATATAAGATATAACATGACGTAATTAGTTTGGCCAAAAGATTCATTCAATTATTAGTTGACAATTTTATATTTTTCTTTAAGTTAAAGCCTTTAAAGATCATATAACGTTTCATGATAAAACTAAACTGCAGTTTTTACTTTTTCACAATGATTTCTATCGTTGAATAATACGACAAATTTCAAATAACAATAGACTAGAATTGAGTTTTTCAAGAATACCAACTTCCGAAATATTTCTTACTAAAGTATTCAATTGAAATAAACTGAAATTTCATTATCTCCCAACCATATTATCTTCATATTTCTATCTAAAAATAGAATACATACATAATATGCTTTTACACTTTCTCTTTTTGTTTTTCTTTTTTTCTCTCTATTCACATCAATTTACAATTCATATGATCATTAAAGTATTTTTTATTTTGAGATAGTTTTATTCTTTTTTTTTCAATGGATCAGGTGACAATGAAGTATCATATACAAATATATGAATGTATATATATATATATATATATATATATATATATATATATATTTACATATATATGTAGTGATTTTATTATATGGGACACAGTCAAGTCCTAACATATTGGGAAGAAAGTATGGAAAAATACTATTGCTGCTACTACTACTAATGTATAAAAATTATTCCTAATAAAAAATCAAAATAAATTAAATTAAGCATAGTGTACAAAAGTTACTGATATTTACATAAATGGGTCATATTTATATACATATATATAGGCCATTTATCTACTATCCGTCTATACTACAATCCACAATGACAAAATATTTTGTTGTTCTTAGTTATCTATGATTAATTTACTTTTTCGACGTAGTCATACCAAAAAAAAAAACGAACAACAGCATACATAACAATCACAATATGTTTGGTTATGAAATTGACAATATTATTTTGCAATATGCAACATATCTGTTTACATAAATACTACTGGTTAATCAACTGAACTTGAAGTACTTTTTATCTTTCAGTGAAATAGATTAGATTAGATATATATGTGATATAGGGTTGATTGCTTATATAGATACATTGTATGTCGTTGTTTTAGCAGTACTATAAAAGGTTCAGTTTCTCAATTCTGTATGACAACTTGTATTGATGGTATGAGGAAATAAAAGTTGGCAATTTCTTTTTTGATTATCACTTTTATATGAATTAGAGATGATGATTTTCATTCGATTAGTAAATTAACCTTTACTGAAGTTATTCATTTCGATTGTAATGAGTTTGACTTTTTTTTACCAGGAATATCATTTCTAAATACATCTAAAACGTATTTGAAAATAACATATGATCTTCAACTGGAAATTGCAATAGTAATATAAAATACGAACTCATCAACTTGATACATTTTCATCAAGTGTTATTTATTACAAATCTCTCTAAACTAATTAAGATGAGAAAAACATCAGATACACACAACTTTACGAGAAGAATAAGGCAAATTCAGTGTATTGCCAAATTCGAACACTAATTATGTTAGATACTTTATCAGTTTATAATAAAATATACATGACAACAGCTTATAGTTTTAAACGTTCAGTAATTTAAATCATGAACAATTGCACCAGTCCAAGTCCCTACGAATAGCCATCATCAAACGGAAGAAGTGACTTACGAAAGTTCAGAAATATAAATTTCTTCTCACAGTGATATCACCAACAAATTTCGATTATTTGATTATTATTATTACTACTAACAATAAATTCTGTTAAAATCTATTAAGCCGTTCAAAACTTTACAGATTTCTGTGTGATTAATCGAATAATCAATAGTATAAGTAGAAAATGCTGTTAAATGCATTTCATTATTCAAATTGACATTAAAGACAATAGACTAAACATTGACATTATGTACTTGTCTACTGAGAAAAAAATATATTCATGACTGTTAAAATAAACTATATCGGGAAATTCATTAAAAATAACTGACATGAAGAATTACATTACACAAGTAACTATACGGCATTAGGTGAACACATTAAAAATCAAAACACCATACAATAAGTGTCTATCCCATGAACCATATAAAATGATGAGACTTATGTATACAAAAACTAATGAATAGATGCAATGTGGTAAGTAGTAGGAAATGCGTTAAGTTTGGTTGCGGACTTAAGAGTAGGATTTCCATGCATTTAATGTCATTGTTGACATTGAGATTACCGTTTAGCACCCTTTAGTTCAAACGTCAATATGATATCCACTGAGCTGGACTGATTCCAGATATCCATTCACTTATCCAATAGGTTTGGTATTTATGGCGTTATCAAAAAAAGGCTTAAATTATCTCATTGTTGATATTTATGACTGGATTTTTATAAGTCTGATCATGGGATAATTCAAACCCTTTACACTAACAATGTTATGATTGATTAGACCATAGTTTTTAGTTCTCTATTTTTATCAATGCTATTTTTTTCTATTATTTTTTTTTGAAAATGTTTTGGTTGTAAAGGATGATGATTGATAGAAAATGAAAACAAGGCTAATAATGAAATGAATAATAGTGATAATAATATCTAAATGATGCTGGTGGAGAACCGGATTAATTTTAAAGTGCATGCAAATACTGTTGCGGATGATTCAATCAAATTTGTAATGGAATGTTGATAGTTTATTCTTTGAAAGAGAATAATTATGTCGAAGTTAGTCGATTATTTTTGGAGCAAATAGCTTATGATCATTAGTGAAATCCTCTAGGGTATAAGTTGAATCAAGAGTCAGGAATACCTAAATCAATGTATGTAAAAGTACTCATATTTAAGTAGGTGAATATACACTCTATTCGTTTCAGATATTTTTGACATGTGATGCTGGTCTAAAGCTATTCACACATTGCGATAATCTTATCTTGGAACTGATAAGTTTTGTATCAAAATGAAGAAAATTGCATTCATTACCAGTCAATCCATTTAGTTCCGAATCAATAATGCATTCATTATTAGCTAATGTTTATTCCACTCTGTATGTGTTTGCCGATTGAGTTTCCTTAATACATATTAACTTTCCATTCAAAGAAATGGAATGGAAATTCAAACCATTTAAACTCTGCTCTAGTTGTTAGAAGGTCTTCCATTTAGAAGGGTTATGACGTCTCCTGATGAAAGCCAAGCTCCTTCCAAGTCACGAGGCCGATGCCCCTTCAGACAATCAGAGCCCTTCCACTGGTGTGGGCAACCGAGAAGTAACATTCGCCCTCATACCCATGAAAACACAAGAGACCAAATCGGTCAGAATTGAATCCTTTCTACAGCTCCTGATTTAAAAAATTCCCAAAGCAATGAAATGTAAATAGGTAAGGATTTATCAATTCTTTTATTTTACAGAACAGTTGTAAAACTGTTTGTTTTAAGTACTTTTATTTATTGTGTCGGTTTCTTTATTAATAAAATTTCAACTTTCCAACCAAATACAACCATTTACGGTATGGTCTGCTAGGTGGCTGTTGTTTGATAGTTTCAGTTGTCATTCACATAAATCTTACTACGGACTAAAATGTGCAAGGTTTTAACCAGGATTTTAGTATAAATATTTAAAAAAAGCATCGTTCATTTATAAATGTGATACTTTCATAACAATCACTGCATTTATCAACAGTCAAAATCAATGACCTTTCACCAAAAGGTTTCTGACCTGCTTCATTTTTAGCTTAATTTACATGGTGTCAGTGGTACATCAAGCAATGATTAGGAGATTCGTCCGAAAGACAGACTGGTTACGATTACCATAAATGGAAAATCACCAACGGTTTGCTCATTCAGACTCTTACACTTACATTAAAAAGTCGATAGATTAAATTACAAAAACTATTTACTGATAAATCAATGCTCAAGATTATTGATTTCATAAAATCATATGAATGAGTTATCATAAACGACTTAGGTTCGTTTCAGACGAAGAAAATTTTCAAGGTACATAGTCAAAAGTCATAGGATGTCAATGTATTCGGTATCATTTCGTTAAATTGGCTTAATTAGGAGAGCTTATGTTTTGTTGGCTATTTAAGACCAGAAAAAAAATACCCAAAGACACTGAGTATAAATACGATTTTAAATTCTTGTCCGTGTATTTGTCTTGGTCACGTCATATCCATTTTCAATTTAGGAGAAGTAAATCACTTTTGGCAGAGTTAAAACCTTATGAAAAATATTGTATCTAAACACATGAATAGGGGAAAAAATAACTCAGTCTTAATAACTACGCTAAGCGACACTGAAATAAACTTACTTATTTTAACTAAATACGTTTTATTTGTCTAAAAAACTCTATAGACTTTTATAATTACTGGTTGCAAAACTAAGAAGAATATTTTTAATTGGAGAAATTGCTTTTCACCTGTCAGTTTCAAAAGAAGCTATAAATCAACTTGATTTTAATTAAAATAAATAGTATATATATATATATATATATATATATATATATATATATATATATATATATAGACATGGTAGAAACACGAACTTTTATCAATACAGACACATACCTTCATACCAATTTCGCCAAATAGCATATTCTTTAAACTTTAATGCTTGTTTTCTAAGCACTGGTAATAAACCAGCAGGAAAGAAATCTATTATAAAGGCAAAGAAAACAGGAGAATTAAAAAACAATGACATAGATTGGAAGATCAAAAGAAAAAAAATGGAAGCAGTACACTGTCTTTTCTATAACTAAAAATAGTTTATGTGAACCAGCTTATTTTCAAGTAACAAAATTAGTGAGGTAAATAAATTGTCCTTTTAAAATAATTAGACTTTAAGTTATTAAGCTCTTACAGAATAAATGGAAGGCAACTAACTTGTAGTTAATGTCAGAACTTACGTTTTGTTCTATTTCAAACTTTTCAACTGAATCTGCCTGCATCTCAGTGTTGACATTCGCTTCAGTATTAGAACCTGATAATTTTTCTTCCAACGCCTAACTTGTAGTCTACCAGGCGACTACTAAGTTTCAAAAGTAATAAGCTAAACTCATGAGATGAACAATAACTCTTTGAAACATGTATATTCAACTGAGTCGTAAATAAGAAAGAACGTTCTTCCTGGATGCCGATTCAAGCTTGAATTCTTCAATTCTTTAAAAGCTTGTAACATAATATCTATATGGAGCCGCTCTACACACGATGCACATATGCCAATAAAAACTGATCTAAATTTAGTTACGAATATCAACAACAGGATAAAATAACCTCTTAAAACCTATGGCATAAATTCTATGATTAGTTTTACTATCAACCAGTACATTAAAATGATTAGCTGAAACCAGTTACATAATCGTACACTGTTCATTTTATAATGTTTATTATGGAAAAAGAATGATAAGCGAGCAAGCTATCAAAAATGTGCTCAATTTTAGATAAACATTTCATTTACGAAGGTATTAGGAATTTTAATTTGGAACACAATAGTGTATGCAACGTTTAAAGAATAACATTAGTTTTTATAATGAATACAACGAGAACTATCTAAAACATGTCCTTAAATTTGGTAAAAATGAGTCAATATCCGGAGACAGTTATTTGTAGAAGGGAAAAGAATATCATGAGAAACTAACAAACAATTCTTAATTTATAGTTTAAAAGGTCATCATACCATGAATAATTTAAATGAGATAAAATTAATGGGTGATCAATAGTCGAAAAACCTATATGTTTCTTGAGAAGAAAAATGAAAAACATGAAATGAAACACAATTGTATGCCTTAAAATCAAGATATATAGATTCACTATACATGCGTGTCTCAATATTACATCGAGGATCAACTTCATATGAAATCAAACGTTAACTGTGATAACTACATCATTGTCGTTTTACAATAACTACCAAAACTAGAAAAGTCTGGTACGTTGGGAAAGTTCTGAGATCAGTGAACATAGGTTTACTTTCAATTTCAAATTTAATCATCATCTACAAGGAATAGTTTACCGGCCAAAGGAATTATTTTAGTTTAACAGCAATTACTGAACTAATACACAGCAGATAAAAGTTATGATTTAAAGTTTTACGATCTCGCAAGTGACACAACACAATCACTCTACCAAGTGTTTTTTATATGATTGTTCGTTCTTGTGTTAACTTCAATGTAAATGAATGCGCTGCTGATCTGCGTTTGGTTTTGAAGTCTGTTCACAGGGAATGGTCATTTGACCAAACTATTAAAATGGACAGTTGTATAAACCATATCTGTACAATCAAACAAAATGTTCTCTTTTTAATATCAAAAGCTAGAAAGTTAAAGCTGCATCTTGCATTTCAAAAGTAAAATGATTTAAACAGGATACAGATACGTAATTAGTTAATTCTGTTATATGTAAGGTCTACTTTTATATGTTCTCGACATAGCTGGTGATAATAAAAACCTCCAGAATGAAGGATTTTTTTAATTTCTCTAAGAGTTTCTCTCGTAACAAACAAAAAAGCTTCTAGAACAACTAGTCATAAGTTAGAAAACAATTAACTTTTATGTATGGAATACCTCAGAAATACACAATATCTTTCGAGACACCACACAAAAGTCTCCATATTGCCCTCCTCCACTCGGCATTCAAGATTTTCGACTTGCTTGTGTAATAGTTTCACTTCAAGCAATAAACTCATACAGTTTAAAATATGAATACAATAAAGCTTTTTCCCCGAAATCATTGGAAAATAGGGAATTGAACCAATGCTTTGTTCGATTTCAGGTTTGCAAAGTAGAACGTACCACTGCCTAGTTTCGAAACAAACATTAGAATTTAAGATTGATGAATTTCAATCATAATAGTAGTGGCATATTCATAAATGGTAGCAACGAATAGTTGTCACACATTAGTGTAAATTCACGGGAGTTAGAACGGTTAGAAAGTGAACTGTTATTCTGCTGTCCGCTGCCCCTTGGCTTCCAATAATTTTCTAATAATTTTCATTTCTGGACGGAATATATCTGCGATACCACGTTTCATTAGAACATTTCAGTAGGATGAATAAATGTGAAAGGGACATAAATAGCACAAAAATTGAAAAAAATATGTTCAGTTACCCATGAAATCACTCTAAAATCTGTTATAATTTAAATTCTAAATCTCCAATCTAAAGAAAAAATCTAATTTTCAAAATTTTAATACGTTTTAAAACTTCTATCCTAATGATTTATATTGCTCTTAACTCGCACCTCTCGGTATAAAATTATGAATTAATAAATATACTATGTACAAAATAATTTTGAATAAAGTTTTACAATAGTCAATAAACTTCATTTACCATTTGTAAAAGGAAAACACAAATATGTTATGCTCGTCAATATAAAAACTTCATAAATTTTTGTGAAATGGACGTGTTTGTGAATAAATAAGTTACAAATGAAGAAAATCAGATTTCATTTTGATTAAATTAAGAAATATTTCAAGATATAATAATCACGTAAGATCACTATTCATCATGAAGTTATAGCAGCTTGTAAACTAAAGAAAAGCTATAAAACTTTATAATAGTCCACGTAAGATCATTCATCAGTAGCCTCATCATGCCAGTGTATTAATTACCATAATAAAAAGTGGTTAAGTTGTTGCGTCACACAGTATATGTATCGCAATGAACTTTTTAAAATAACTAATAGACATAGACATTACATTATTTTAGTAAAGTACACGAATGAAGCTACAGAAATATTGGTAGTTTGTATGTAACTAGTTGGATGTCATTGTCTTTCAGTTATTGTAGTATAACAAATTTTAATTAAAGATTGATTTTATAAACATTGTAAATAGTCCTAATTATAGGAAGAATTCTTCTGTTTTATGTCACTTGGAAAAGTTTGTAAATCAACCTATGCATGCTAAAAATGAACAAATAATGTGTTAAGAAATTCCTAATAATGACATTCGTTTGTGAATGAACTAACTGAGAATACTCCATAAATTTACTGTACATAAGGTTAGATGTGTTTAACCATTTACCAGGAACTTACGGTAACATATATATACAGTCATAATGACTGTGTTACAATAAAAATCATTAGAGATTTAGGACTGATCTAAAGGGTTTTAAGGTAATTTTGATAAATTTTACACTAATGAAACCGAGTATACAGTTTTTAAAATATTTATTTTTCATATAAAGAATTTCGGAAGTTTATTTCCATAAATATAAGCATCCAACTGACTATTCCCGAAAATGGTGTAACGCGTATCATATGAAAATCTCTTATGGTTTTCCCATATTTATTATTTATTTTGTGAATCTTCAGCGATGCGAATTTATCAAAAGTTATAATATAAATTATGTAAGCTGATACACAAATTATAAAACTATTAAGTTTAGGCTGCAAATAGCTGATGCAAAACCGTCAACTAAAACGAATTACTGTCATACTACGACGTTCATTGTTCCTGCTTTAGTCAAACTCATGTAACAGTTTAGGTAGGTCCGTACAATGTGCACATATTCCAACAGAAACTAGATAGCTGAAGTCTTTTACATAACCCTTATCATAAATTGAATTCTTTTTCAGAATATTACTTCATTTTAATAACAACTAGTCATGAAATCGTCAAATTCATCCAATACGATACAAGAAAAACATTAAATTTTTCAATTTGTCAATGAATTAACCTTAAATTTCACCTTTCAAAATTATATGCATTGTTCTAGGAAAAACACTTCACTGTCATCATGATGACAGTGAATTATTATTAATCGATGAAGTGAAAGTGAACTAAAGTCCCCATTAAAATTAGAAAAGATGAAATTACAAGCATTAGATAATAACAGAAACAGAAACAACAAATAGAGGATAAAATTAGAAAGGAAACAGTCACATTGAAATGATCATAACAATAATAATAATAATAATAGCAGCTACAACTACTACAACAACAATAACAGCAAACGCAGTAAAAATAACATTTCCAATCTTGTTAATTGATTAGATTGATTTTATTGACATAATTTTTGTCTAAAATAAATTTAGAGAAAAAAAATATTATTTGCCTACGTTCTTCATTAAACTATATTTTAATTTTTTTTTTGTTCCTTTCATTACTGTGAATATTATGCTAATTCTAAAGAGAAACTCATTTAGGTAATGTTGAAATTAATTAGTCAAAATAGTGTTAGTTTTTTTCCCTGTACAATACAACTCTACTGAATCGGAAGTTGTAAGTGAAGTTTAAATGAGAATATTGTTAATAGTATTGGCTGAAATCAGTAGTAAGTTGACTGAGATAAATGAATCCAAAACCTGATAAATAAAACGAAGTTTGTTTCCTTAGTTTTTTATAAAAAGATTTTCGCATTTTTGCTTTTGCCTAAATACTAGTCCAAATAGAATGAATTAACTTGTTTTAAAACTTTAATTAGAAATACAAATAACGCAATATTTGTGACTAATTAAACTAAATTAGTTCTCATACTGTAATGATATTAGCTAGGGAAATATATTTCAAAAGTAAGGCCTACTAAATAGATATTCTGTTTAAATGTGCAGTTATTTACTTTGGTATTGAAACTTGAGTCATCTTATCCTATGGGAAATAGAAGTATCGTAAAATAAAATTTATGAAAGTCATAACACTGTCCTATTTAAAAAAACACTTGCACAAACCTGTTTAGATTAATAATTAAATGAAGAAACATCTCAGAACATAGAAAATTACATAAGTTACTAATTTCTGGTTGAATTCACAAATAAATTCCAAAGTTGGATGCTTGATCTATGCACTTGCGGCAAAATATATATCCGTTATCAAATGACACTCATTTGAAACACCAAAGTATGGTCATACATAATATATTTCGCATCAAAAATGTAAGTTTGTGTTTTCCCACGACAGATTATTTGTTATTTAACAATAAAAACTGTACATCACAAAGTACAATATTGTCTAAATAGTCTGCGAGTCATCAACATCATTTTTAGTAATCATCCTATCCACCTAAGTAAAATAGTCTATACAAAGCTGATCGATTGTTGCATAGTGCTCTTTAATTCAATATTAGATCAGTGTTAATTCAATTTTTATTTTCAGCATCTTGATTTAAGACACTAGTTTAGTCAGACTCTGGATTTACTAACACAAATGAATATAGGATCAAGAACTGTGTAAAGACAGATGATAACCAAACAAATATGCAAGTAATAACAACATAAATGTTTATTATAGCCAATCGAGTCTGTCTACGGTAGATCATGCTGATAAACACTTGCGAGAGGAGTGTAAAAGCCCATTACATTCTGAAGTTTTGAATGATGATACTGCCATATAGTTAAATCACTAAGTTTAAATTATACAAATTTACCAAAATTACAATCACTGTTGAATCATTTAATGTAACTAAAGAGTCTGCACTTTAATATCCCTCTAGTATGACATCTTAATAACCGTAAAATTGAGTCAACACCTATTGAAAAAACCCAAAAGATGAATTACTGATTATACTAAACATATTTATACCTGCGTATTTTGAAAGTAAATAGAAGAGTTGGTAAAGGTGTGAAATTGACCATGTGGCCTAATAAGAAACTACATTAATGTTCTTGAAAAATGCGTGCGTTTAAAAGCATTTCATGGAAGAAAAATGCTTAAGAAATGGATGATGTTTCTGCAGTAGTAAATAATATTCATTAGGAATAATAAACTATAATTCGGAATCACATATATGGATGAGTATTACTGCTGAAGATTCTGTCAAATATATATATTGACTGTCATCTTCAATAAATGAATCCAGTGCACTCAAGCCTATGCGCTACATGCATCGATTAGTGAGCTACATAAGATTGGTCACTTCGCTTGTTTCAATTTCATAAATTCTCTATTCCTCAAACTCATTCTGTTGTCTCAATAATAATATTCAATCGTAAATAAACAAAAACAATATTACAACAGTTCAACCGATATTGAGCTGCATACAAATTTTATCATTTAGAATTCTTTCTTTAAACTATAGAAAATACTCATGTAGATTGTAATTAGAAATAATTCTTTTTCCCATTATTTCTTAGATTATTCTGTTGTGAGCTTTCAAATATTTAAACTGAATTTCATATGCATTAGCTGCTTATTCAACATCCATGTTACTGTTCTTCACAAAAACGAAAAAAAAACATCGATAAAAAGAAATACAAGAGATATGGTTGGGAATATTTTGAAAAAAAAACAAATCTAATCAACATTAAGTGATTTATTGCTGAAAATCTTTGTAGATTTTTTCTTGAAAAAAAAAACTTTCCAATAAAGGAAAAACTAACATTATCAATGCATTAGTCTTCTTCATAGTTAACTGTAAAACAAGCAGGAAATATCAAAGTAAGATTTCTTGTTCCATCCATCATGAAAGATTTTAAATGCTAATATGTTTTTCAATACAGTTTCGGTTACTTTGAAATGTATTAACAGAAGACTGGAGAAAACAAAGTAGAATGTAAGACAGTGAAGGTATCTAGTTTTCCCAAATTTTCATCGCATATTTAACATTATTTTTTAATGATCTGAATCATTAACAGATCAATATTAGATCTTCATTAGAAACCTGAAAGCACTAGATGGCCTGTTATGGGAGTTTCCAGTAGTGCTCATTTACAACTACCGCTTGCGGGAATCGAACCCAAGACGTTCAGTCTCGCGCGCGAATGCTTAACCACTACCGTCGTAATGTCCTACTTTAATCAATCAACCCCACACTTTGTCTTCGGTAATTACTGCCTATACCCGATAGGGCTGAAATCCACAGGTCACGTCTTCTCACTAGAACTCCGAGAATTTCCTTACGAAGCTAGACACTAGTGGGTGCATTTTGTAACTTTTGGTTAAAGAGTTATGGACATAGCTTTTTATCATTGAAATCATGAAAAGTCACATACTTAAATTAAACACTCTTCCAGTGCTTCCAGGTTTCTAATGATGGTCCAACAATCAGTGACTCATGATTTCACTGGATAAACAACAATCTGCATAACTCTATGATGATAAAATTATTTTTAAAGTCTTATTGTTGATTTATAAGACTACTTATTTATGTCTTTGTTGTTATATATGCCATTTGATGTAGCCTTTTGGTTGAAAATTTTCAATGTTTCCAGATTGTATCTAGTTACGGAATTCAGGTGCACTAACTTGGTGAATCACAAAGGAGATGAAATAAACTTTCTATATTCAACTCTTTTCATACCATAAAAACTGGCAAAACCCGTGTCTGCTTTAGTTAATGAGCAAATGTTATTTGTTAACTTTAGTTTCACATTTTCAAATTCATTCGCATTGTAAGTAGATGATTCATTTTTTTCCTATGCCTCGAAGATATATTTATTTATTGGTTTTTTTATATTGATCAATAATAACTATCTTATAGTAGAAGTAACTCCTTTAAGTTAATTACTGAGTTAAAAAAACATAACATGTAACTTCAAGTGATAAATTTGAGTGTATATTCTCTCAAACTATGGTCACTTCTTGAAAGTGTTTACTGTAAATCTTTGATATAACTGACAAGTGAAAGGGCAGTGAATATTTTTTAAAAGTTTATAACCATTAGCTATTTCGGGATCCTATGACGACCTCTTATATATATACAGCTTTAGACTACTCACTATTAATCATTATAACTGTAAATGAAATTCATTCAAGTATTCTGTTGTTAATGAATTTTTCCTAAAAGTATAAGTTTGATTAAAACATTAGTTATATGATAGCGTAAGGAACTTTATTAACATACGATTTAATGCAAAAATATTAATTTTATTATTCTAAATTAACACCCAAAGTAATCCAAGTAAAATCGCAATGAAAATATTGTATGCTTATGAAGGTATACTTCTAAAGTATGCATAACCACAATATTAAAAAAGTTGTTCACTGAATTCCATATTTCAATGATTTTATCTAGTTGAAAAAGTTATCTCAAACTTCAAACCCAAATAAAACTATCCCAGTTAAAATTTAATTAAGTTGTATCGAATATTAAATGATTGTGATGCATATTATATCCAAGCTACTTCGTTAGCAGATATGTCCTCTTAAGTAAATTAAATGTAAACAAAAAACGAATTCGTCTGTCAGATGTAAAGTATGTTTATTTTGTGGAAAAAATAAACATTTGACTTTATTTTTACCCAAATGTACATGTGAGTTTATGACTTTTAAATATGCGTAAAAGTAATTATCCGATTGCTAAATATAAGTTCAATGTTACTTCGAATTTTCACCGATCGATATCGTTAGTTCGACATTTACACAATTTTAGACATAAAAATGAATAAAGAAAGAATATTAAGGCAACAGTTTTCATCAAGAAATAATGAAAGGACGATAGAATTATTCATAACATTTTCGCTTTAATACCATAGTCATATCGGGAAGTCCTAAGCACTACTTAAATAAATCATATTAGATATTTGACTGAGAAAAAATGTTTCAGTTCATTTGAAAAAATAAAAGGTTAATGCTATAAATTAATGATATTATATAGTTATGTAGAATTTACTGAATAAAATATAAATTGAACTGGTATCTGGCTAGTCAAAACTTTAAAAAATTAGTGAATCATTACTGGATTCATTAGCTAAGTGGATAACGCGATGGCGTTTCAAGCGTAAGTTGTCGGGTTCAAGTTCCGGAGTGAATATCAACTCATACATTGGGAGATCCAGCTGACGAGTCCCGAATACGACGAAACATGCATCCCCGATTCCATTACTATCTATTATCCACCTTTGCTAATAATGTATGTTAGTTTACTTAGTTCATTCTAAAAGTCTATACTTTTATTGCGATTGACGATATTCAACCAAGTGTATGATAATCCATTAACAACGAACAAGCATTTCTAGTTTTGTATCAAAATGACTTTGATTATCAGTCTAATGAGTTATTTAAAATTACTAAAATTACTAAGAAACCTGTAACATGTTTTATATAATGTCCTGAAACTAGTCATATAACTACTGGAAACTAGGATATGCTGGAAGTTAGTTTCATTCGTGTGTAAGACTCTATTCAGCAGTTAGTAATCACAAACTGACCGAAAATCTAATTCAGAAACTTCAGGTCTATCAATGAATGTTTAACATTTAAACCACTGAGTCAATGTACAAAGATTTACACAGTAATCAACAACAATCGATTCATGACACTGTTCAATAATCATTCAACGCTATCGACAGATAACTAACTGTCCCACGCCCAATACGATTGAAATCAAAGAATGTAAATACTGCATTATATGTTATCATCATACTTTTTTCAAATTTATTAGTTTACTGTGTGAATACAATAGTGACGAAAAATCATGCGTATTTCTATCTCCTATTCATCAATATCTGAAGAATACACGCCTTCATGGGAACATATAGTTTTAAGGGAATTAAAAAAAATGATTAGTTAACAATAATGGAAATAAATATGAGTTTATTATAAAATCTTAGCTAAACTACTATATGATTATAGACAATAAAAATTAGTAGTACTAATGGTTGTAAAAATATCAGCAATAGTATTGCATTAATTAAAATGAATTTGAAAGTTACCTGGTGTGATTATCAACTGACACATATTATTTCCCAATCTTAAAAGTTCCAATGATGACATAATTAAAGTAGATTTGCATAATTTTGACTCATTTATAGCTATATTATTACTTTTACCGATTCCGTGTTTGCTATTCGTGCTTGATGTGGATAGGAATAAACTTGTTAATGTATTCTCAGTATACTTCCATGTCATCTCCAAATATCGACCAATAATTTGATGTCGTGTACTAACTTCACGATGATCACTCCATTGTACACCTTTTTTACAATCAGCTCTAGATTTACTTTGTTTACGTTCATTATTATCAATAATACTACTACTTTCAGTTCTATCATAGACAGAAGAATCGTTTTCGTCGTTTTTGTCATCAAAATCATCTGAATTTGTTTGATTATCCGATTGTAGTTTGGTGTACTCAGTTTGAAGTACATGATTACCGATTGATGGATAAGGTGAAACAGCTGATCCAGTAGCCACATATCGATCCAATGTACTCGAACGATGTAATGTATCCTGATAACGAGAAATATAATTCGATAACAGGTCATTTCTATGACGAATTTCTGTTTTTTGAGGCGCTTTAGTAGTAATGATCTCTTTTGTTTCTGTTGTATTAGAGTGATTAGTTGAAGTAGCACGTACCAATACACCATGTTTACCTTCAACACTTACAGCATGTGATATAGACGAAGATGGGATAGAGGAAGTAGTAGAACAAGGCTTTGAATGATTAATATTACTGTAAGCTTTTAATAGTTGTTCAGCCTCAACTTGTCTTAATTGTGCTGTGGCAGCAGCTGATGTGTAAACATGTTGTAATTTCTGTACTTGATAGAGTAGATCAGTTGATTGAGACAGTATATCTAAAAAATTTGATATAAATTCATATTCAGTTCGAAGATAATCTGAAGCCAATAAACCATGATTTTCTTGAATGAATTTTTGAAATTCTTGTTGTATTAAATTTTTGTTCGACAAATTATTGTTATCAACATTATTATAGTCATCATCAGGATCACTAGAGAATAGTTTTGGAAATTTATACAGATGTAAATAGATTAGATGAGCAAGACGCAAAGAACGTTGTTTAGCGAATAAAGAAAATAAACATCCAACAGATATTGAGAAGACAACATCTACAGGATCATTTAATAAGTTATTAGAAATAAGTTGTGATAATGTTTTAGAAGTACTACTAACACTAGTAGTAGTAGTAGTAGTAGTAGTAGTATTAGCACTCGGTGATATAATTTGAGCAGAATGAACTATATCCTCATAGTTACATAATAGTTTATGCAACTGTTTATTACGATATATTTGAAATATTTTATGTAAATATTCACGTAAAATACTTAACTCTTCTATACCACGTGTCATTTCCCATAGGTCATCATGTGTAAAACGTGATAATTCCATATAACCTAATAATGATACACCAGAATAGATTAAATATTGAGCAGAATTAATAATAGCTAATGTTAACAGTTTGCTATACATTGAATTAATTTTATATGAATCTAGAAAAAGTTTTGTTAAAATTGTATCACAGTTATTTGAAGCATTAATTTGATTTAAACGATATTGCATAGTTCGTTGTTCATTGGCTAAACGTTTCATCTGTGTCCAACATTGTCTTAAACTTTCGCATAAAATTCTAAGTTCACCTAATTGTGAAGAATGATCATAATGTGTTATTGTATAATTAGTAATATGAGTATTATTAGCATTATCATCATCATCATCATTATCATTATCATCATCATCATCTCCACTCTCATCATTAAAATGTAATAATGTTGTCAATAGAAATTCATGATAATCATTTAATAAATTTGATGAATTTTTCTCATAAAGAGCTTGAAATGAATAAATATTATTGCTTGATATGGAAAATTTTGATAGAACACAATCTAGTAAATTGATTTCTTTGATTGTAATAGTTTCTGAATGAGCAAGTAATGCAAGTAAACCTAAACTGAACTCTTTCACAGTATTGTTCAATGTATCGAAATGTACAACGTTCAATAGTTTTAAATAGAAACGATGCAAATAAGTTAAATGATTTAAATCATTTGATTTATTTTTAGAAGTAGTAGGAGAAATATGTACAGATATATTAGCATTGGTAATTGTTGATGAATTGATTGGTTCTTCAAATGTTGATGTTAGTAGGTTTTGATTGTCTGCATATTCTTCTGCATTAAGTATCTGTAATTGAAAATAAGAAAATAAAATTGAACTAAGTGTAAAATTTGCCGCCCTACATACAATTTGGAGTTATAAACTACGATGAAATCTTAGTAATCTACATTATAATAGAGAAATCCTAGTAGATATATATTACAAAGTGTACTTATTAGTACTGAATAACTTCAATATATTTTATGCACAAAGGTCTAAAGGTGAAGCTGCGCTTACAGCTAATTGTATGACAGGTAAGATAATGCTGTGACTTTGGATTTACATGAATTAATTTTGATGCATATAAGATGTTCAGAGAATAAACAGAACCAAATAACACTGACAACTAATTTTGTGCCGAAAAACGAAAACAATACACTAAATACACCATTTGCATATCATCATTAAGTTGACCCGTAAAATTTCCACTGATCATTCATTCTTGTTGGTACTCTGATTGACCTTTGCTTTCTTTCTTCTCTTCTGCCAGTAAGAATTCTACTACCTATTCCTGATACAGACCACTTATATCTACCCGTTTAAATAGCGTGAGTCGAAAGACACTGACTCATTTATTCGATCAACTTATTGTGATTAGTTAAAATAAGGATATCTAATATAATCTTCTTAAACTAAGAAAGTTTAACTCTGTTTGATGAAATCACATTTTTTATGGACATTATAATTCAGAACCTTTCCAAAAAACGTTTTTCGAAACATAATTGTATTTTATTAGCGGACACATAATTTATTATATCCCTAAAGCGAAATTTTTATCTTTCATCATTCTTGAGCACCGAAAGAAATTGTATGGGACTGACAAAAATTAAATTTTCCAAATTCAACAATAAAACATCCTCATAGACCCAAGTTTAAATTCTCGATTATTAAATTCCAAAATCGACATAGCATGATATTCTTTCGCCTAATTTAGTTTCAAAAGTTTGTAAGCAATTTAAAAATCAATTATTGTTATACACTTTTCATATTATATGGTTAGGATGTTAAAGCATAAAATACGTTTCTATAACTAAATGTTTTTCTACGTGAATAGATCCAACTGAGTAGAATGAATCTTCTTGAAAACTAATAAATCAATCACTATAATGTGATATATTGTATGTTAACAGAATTTATGCAGCATTGAATCTCAGTGTAGTAATTTGAAGTTATTATTGTTCAAACCATGCTTTAGGTTGATTATGATTAAGTGATTAATTTTTGCTTGTCATGGAACTTAAATATTTTCGGATGAAGATCATGTATACATATTGTTGAGAAGCTCTAATCTAGAATAAGTTGCTTTTCTAATGTTCCTCAGATTTTGGGGATCTTCCAGTTGATGTGATTCAGTGACTGAATTGAACTTTTTGACTTCATAATTTTCATTAGTTGTGAATAAAATGATATGAGTGTGAAACGATATAGTAATGAAGGATTTATAGTGTTCAGCTCAAACGAAAGTCATTTTTGATAGAAAAATATGCCAGCATTAATCATATGTAAAGAAAGTTCTCATATATTGATATTAGAACATACATTATTTCTCATGTAATTACTAATAAAATGTATTCAGTACAAAAAATATCTAAATAAATGAACTTACTGAGTCTGTCTGTTCATCTTCACAACTATATCCTTGTAAAACAAGTTTATTAAAATTTGGTAATATTTTAACTGAATAACATAATGATAATGCATGTGTGATTAGTTCATCCACTGAAGATGTACATGAACGTAAACTATGCTCAATATAATCAACTGGTTGTATATCCAATGAACTTTCTAAAGATGTAACCGGTGGATCTTCATCTTCTTGAATTGTACAAGCTCTGCCAATAGCAGCTAATGACGCATGCATTTACAAACTAAAAATGTAATACAACCTGAAAAATAAATTAACAATATAATTACTCAATGATTAATAAAATAATATATGAATTTAATTCATTTTAGTTGAAAAATTCGGTTACGCATATAAGAGAAATGGAGTAGATGGTAGAACAAATTGCAATTGAGGTAATTCATATACCAATACGGTTTCATATAGTCAACTTTATAACACGCTTTCGGTGTGTTAGCTGTCAGTACTACCGGGCTGCATAAAGTGTAGGATTTGAACCCATATTACATGTTAATTGTGGTTTAAGAGTGCATTAGCTATCATGATAATGCTATCCTAATGTTTTAACTAGTTTTGCAATATTTAAATGATAATTTCATATAAATTTAACAGAAAACATTAATAGGTTAATAACATAATATCGTAATTTCACTTTTCTTGAATTCAACCAGCAGTAGTGAATAAACCGTATAAATATTCAAATCAGAACCCGTTAGTAAAATAAATAAAATAGGAGCTTGAGAAAGTGATTTAGTTAACAACATACGTTTTTCGGATTAAAAAATATTTGGTCACAACAATCTTTGAGATGAAGAAAATCGGATAGCCAATGGCCTCAAAATAATGTTAAAAAACGCATTAAATATCACATAAAACAGCAAAAAAAACGATGTTTCCAATACAAAACAGTTTACATAGTACTGTATTAACCTACATATATTATTTTTCTCAGTATAGTAGTAAGTTTGGAGAAATCGTTCAAAAAACTTAAGTTACTATTTTCCAGTAAACATAAAAAGTACTTATTAAGGAATAATGTTTATACCTTACTTCTAAGTTTTGAAACATTTTCCATTGATGTAAAATGAATTTTTCAACAAATAAGTGAGATCTAACTTACTGATATAGATTTAGTAATGCATAAAATTCATAAATAATTCTCCAGATAACTACGTCAGCTGAGATGTTAAAAAACCTATTCTAAAATGCTTTTCACTCCCAGAAGTTTATACCTTCCATTTTCATTTTCCCTGCTTGGTAAGTTCTTGTAAGTACTCAGATTAAGGTGTCCTTAGTTACATCATATTCTCAAATTTCACTAGAACTATGTTCACAAGGAATTTTACTAAATTCAGTTCCTAGAAAGTTCTAGCAATGGTAAACCAGTGATCGCTAAAAGCGAGAGTAGCACATGTTCGATTTTTGTATTAGCAAAAGAGGTTAGCATCCATTTTTAACCTTGAGCTCTACCTGAAACCTCGGTTCTTATAGAACAGTGTTATTTTTCTTAATACATTGCTAACGTAAAGAGCCCTTCAGAATTTTGTAAATTTACACAGCATCTTTCCGATTTCGATCTACAATCTCACTGAATTAGGTAGCATATTTGAAAAGCAGATTGTGTGACAGGCAAAATATGCCTTAACAAAATTTAGTATTTAGTCCCATTTATTGACAAGTACAGAGATGACTGTTTGTTCAAACTGACGTCAAGGTTGGATGATTTGGGGTGGCAGATATTTTATTGAAACTATTCATGATTATTTGTGATTAATTACATATAATAGTTACATAAATGGTAACTGAAAGTATGAAATTTTCCATGGTCTATTTGAATGGAGAGAGTATCACAAAAATTTAAAAAAGCCACACAGACGACTAAGGTTACACACAGTTTACTTATGAAACACCATTTTAGAATAGGTATTCCTTGGTAGTAAATTTTCATCTAAAAGTGACTGTCACTGTCACTGACGAAAAGAGCTATTTTATTTTCAGTCCTACAATATTCACAATTATTTATTCTCTATATTATCATCCTACCTAATAAGCTATATTACCGTGATAAAATTATATTACAATTTCACCTGATCCATTCCTAATATCAATTTAATATTATGTATATGTCCGGAATATTTATTTTTAGACTGTCACAAATAGTAGAAAAATAGATCTGGTTCACTAGTGGTCCGTAAAAAGTATGAAATTTGGTAAAAGAAAAAAAACTAAAAAATACTTCTTACCGTTGGAACATGAGTACTTAATCAAAAAATATTGTTTTTCGTAACGAGAAGAAGAAAAACCGTTCAAAATTTGTTCTTGTCAAGACTTCTCAATGTGATTGTGAATATGATTCAAAAATATTCGCGTAAGACAGAGAAAAATATTTTTAACGGTAAACTTATACATCATTTAGTGGTTTTGCCGTGCATTCACCCGAAGCTTGGATTTAGGAACTAAATATATGTAAGAATGATGCAATAACCAGCCAGACGATACGAGTATTCTGAAGGTAAACATAATTCGGTAATCCATATACGATACTGAAACTTTATGTCTTCACCTTAATACCTAAGCAAAAAGCCTTATATTTATTTATTTATTCTTCATGCGCCATGATCACTATTAACTCTAAAAGCATTTTCTTTTCTAAAAAACAGGGGATAAAAACAAAGTCAAAATGATTTAAACTGATTTTCGATCACGAAGTTTATGGTTGCTAGTCAGTATCCTTTATTGATAAAATGATCTTTCATTTTGAAGGTTAACTTTTGTACTTTTATAATTACGAACTATTATGAGTTCTCTTTTATAGGCAACAAAATGTAAGATAGTTCAATAGTTTTTTCATGCCATATCTTGAAGTTACACTAATTTATTTTTAGAAGTGAGGTTATGCAAAGAATAAATAGATCATGATTACTTGAACCCGCATCTTAGAATTAAGTCTTAGAATTATCTTCGAAACTCGACCTAGTTGTTTATAGAATGTTCGTCGTAACCAAAACTAATAATTTTTGCAGATGCGTATATACATGAATGCTTAAGCTTTATTCTGTTAGGCTAATTATATGATATGGGAAATGACACAGTTATAACATCCAATATGCAGTTAAAACGTCTATTAGTGCAGATTGGACTGCATCGAAATCTAACATGAGTGATTTTTCCAGTCACTAAATCCAACAACGATTACAATTTACAAATATAAGAACAAAACTAACAAAATAATAGTTTCAAACCAATTAAAGCAAGTATATCCGAAAACATTTTGGGGTACCGTCTGAACATATTTTTCAAATACGTTATTATACGAGTTATTTCTAACCCAACAAAAGTCTATTGCACTGTAAAAATTGCAAAACATCTGTTCTGTTTACTCCGGTTAATTAGATCAAATAATATGAATAACCTATTACTGGGAATCTAAATGAACTGCTTGTAATTGACATCCGGGTTTCATAGTTGAAGCCGCTGAAGTGACTTCAAGCCCAATTTATTCAAAAACTGTTTTAGCCCATTATTACTTGACTGTTTACACTAATTAAAAATGATGGGCTGCTATCTATTACTCTGATGAATTCATGAATCATAGTTAGACATGTTTAAAGTTGGCAGGCTACTTAGCTTCTTTACCTTTAAACTTGGTGTACGGAAGTACCACCAACTGTGATCAACACATAATGACAATGTTTAAATGGTTTACAGAAATCAGACAATTAGCTTCCATGATAGTTTAAATACGGAATTGCAAAGCAATTACTAACATTCTTAAAGTTTATAATGAGTGGCGACAGATAGTTTGAACAAAAATAAAATCAAGTGGTCGATAAATAAGTTTAGGTATTATCTGACTGTTGTTTAGGCTAACTGAATTTTCATAGAAAACCATATATTCATTTCGACATAGGATGTAAGTTGAATGTCGTCTAAGGTGTACATTGCAAGGTATAAATATTAGACTTACAGTTGAGACACCGATCAAAAATAATATCAACAAGAGAACTTCAACACGTTTGTACAAATAAAAACTTGAACATCTTCATCTCCTTTCTTTAATAAAGTGGCTCCATGATTTATCCTCATATTCAAAGTTTTTAAGGGCGAATCTTTTGTTTTTATTCATTTTATTTAGCAGGAATGATCTGCCAAGTTGACTGAAGATCTAAAAGTCTAGGCTATAGGATCCAGCTCCTAGATTTTTAAAGCACTAAAAATTTGTATGGAATACAAAGTGAGAATAAATTCTGGTATTCAAATATCTTTTTCACAAGTTAGTATAGACCGATTGATTTATTTGATCTCGGTTCGTGTTATTTCGGAATGATTCCATGTATTAGGAGACAAAATCAGTTTTATTTAATATTAATATTACTGTTACTAAACAAATATAATTGGCATTTGGTTTTCCTTTCTAAACAAAATAGCGTATTTTGGATAAATTAGATAGCACCTTTTAAAATGATAAGCTCACAAGGAATGTCTTATCGGATAACTGAGCTGGTATTCGTTTGTATTGTACTCTGAGAATATCATTTACTTTGTGTTTTCCAGATAAAGACATTTTAAGTAGCCAACACAAAAGAATTCATACTGACAATACAAAAAAGCTTAAAACTCACCTTTATACAAGAAAGGTTTCCAGACACAGCTTCACAAACAACCTGGAAAATCAACAACATTCAATAAGGCCTTTGAATTGACGGTAGTTGGTAATCTCTGTAAATGATGTAAACAAAGAAATCACCTTCCTATCCAATATCCAACATTTTCTCACGAGCTAGTAAAAATGGATTATTTTCTTTGCGCTCGATTCTAGTTCTCTCGGTACGGTTTCTTGTTTTTGGTAGTGCCCAATGGAAGAGGGTCCAACCATTCGACTATCTAATTCTAGTCATGTCACAGTTGTTTGTGGGTTCGTATGTCCCGTGATTTGAACGAATACCTTTGTTTCATGGCAGTAGGGTTACTGGGTACCAGCAACTATCACATTACCAGACCGGGGATCAGTTAGTTGCAATGTGGAGAATAGTAAGGAGAAAATTCTAGTGCTGATGAGATTTCAGGACTAAGCAAGGACATTTCAAGTTGCAACGACTCCTAGTGAGAAAAAGTGTGCACGAATCTGGGTGTTCGCTCTTTGATGAGCGATTATTCGAGGATTACCTCGAGGGCAGTGGTGGTAATGTATCCTTTAGGTGCTCACGTTGGGATGGTTTGCATGCCTAATATATTGTACGACATAATTAGATAACCTCTGATTCTCCTGTAACTCAGTGTGATTAGTGCCAAATGCTGGACTCTTTCTTCGTGAATTTTATTTTTCAACCCTATCAACCATTTCGTTGCTCGTCTTTGCACTCAGTACAAGAGATTGGTCTCTTTTAAGGAGAGGGTCTGTGACGATTTTGTGAACCTCAAAGTGTGGGCTAGCATATGTCTCAAACAGTGATTGCACCAAGTTGTCTTCGCATAAAGTGAATAGTTGCATTTGCCTTGGCTAAATCACACACAAAGTTCGAATTGGTGTGGAGGCTTTCAGTGGTTATTAAACCGAGGTCGCGCTCTGAGGAGACATTAGGGAGCGGACTTCCATTGAGGGTGTAAATCGTTTGCGTCATGTGGGGCAGAATATACATGACGCGACATTTCTGCTGGTTTAGTTTTAAACCGTTTTTCCCTACCCATTCCCCGATGTCTGTAAGGTCATTTTGGAGATAAGTCAAATCCTCTTCGCTTCTCATGGACCTCCAGATCTTTGCATCGTCTGTGTAGATCAATGCCGCTGAGTTATCTGAGCCTATTTCCGCAACCTTTGCGATTAAGGGTGCGTGGGGCACTGAGTCGAAGGCTTTTGTAAAGTCGAAAAATTTTACATGCGCCGGTATTTTACGGTAGTAGTAATGTTACTGGTCTGTAACAGGCTGAGTCCTTCCCATCTCCTCTTTTGAAGATTGTAGAGAGAGTGGCTTGTTTCCATTTGGCTGGGAGTTGGCACGAGTACAGCGAATGTCTGGACACAACACGTATCAATAGTCTGAGTGCTTCCCTACAGTGGATTTTGGGACTAATATTGTCAATGCCCAGTGAGTTTCCCGTGATTAAGGATTTTTGTTTCCTTTGTACTAAGTCAGGAGCAATATGGATATTCCCTAAGCCGTCAAGTGGCACTGAGGCTGTGTAGTGTAGAATCTTTTTTGAATGTTTTGTTTTTTGGAAAATCCCTCCATGTATATGCATTTGTGTTATGATATGACTGACTCTTTCTGTTGACATTTTGGTACTCTATTTGATTCCATTTTGAGATTTTATCATTGTATATTGTTATTATTTCTATATCTTGTACTTATATTGAAGTTTTATATGTTTGCTTCTGAACTGTACATATGTTGTTTAAATTTGATATTTTATATGGCTACAGCCATATTTGGATTTGATACATCGACTGTACGGACTGGAAGCACATATTCTTCCAGAAACGGATACCCACCGCGATAAATTGGAGTTGGAAGTTGTAATAATTGTTGGGTAATTGTCTGTATTTCTATTTTATATTAAATAAAGACCGTTTTCTCCCAGAATTTTTGCGTTTTGGTATTGGATCTGGGACATCGCGTACCAACGTGCACCTATTGGAAACGAAGTGAACTGCTGGGGTAGAAAATCCATCTATATGTAGTACTCTGAACATGTGGATACCTGGCTTAACTGATCAGGGAAGTTTGTGTTGAAGTTCTCAGCCATCTTTAGGTTGGTGAGGTCTTCTCCATCAGGACCTTTGAGAGAACACAAATCCTGATTCATGAGTATTCTTTCAGTCACGGACCTTAACAGATGCTTCGGGTTTGCCAGTATTTCGAGAGCTAGCCTCAGCTCAAAGCGTCTTCCATCCTTTCGAACTGTGGTATTGCATCTGTTTCTCAATGACATGTAAGATCTACGATCGAAATCCTTTAAGGAGACCTTATACTTGCACCAGGCTCTCCTCTTCTTCTGTAGCAAGCGCTCAGTGCCAATTCCAAACATTATTTTTCTATTTTCGGGTGTATGGTGTGACTGAGGTACATTTTCGAGGTCAACATTGTGGATGATGTCTCTAATTGTTTGCCAGATATCATCTACTGTCAGCCTCCACTGTGAGGAATTTAAAATGCCGTAGTTTTTATCGTAACTCGCAGTACAAGTCTAAGTCCTTTAAAAGGTGTGAACTGTAAAACTGATCCAATCTCGCTAACTATTTCTTCATTTATTAGTATTATAACTCCCATCTTTGTTTCTAACTTCGTTAAACACTTCTCCGCCACTACATTCTAAACACTTATAATTTGTTTGAAAACCCATACTTTATTCTTCGAAACTAACTGTATCGTATTGATGCCTTACCAATGGTTCATAAGTTGTAACAGCCAAACAAGCATGGCAGAGAAACTTTCAGAAATTGTATTTCTCAATAGGATGTGAAACATAGAGCCTCAAGTTCAATATAAATTATCATCTTACAATCATCTACATGATCCTAACAACACAAATAAAGGGAGGGCGGAGTTATTGACCATCAAACATTGTTGGTATGGACGATCACCAACCCACTCATGTATTTCCTGCAGAAAATCTAGTTTACCTTCGGCTCATTTAGGCTGATGCAGCGACTAATCAGTAAACCTGAAGTTGCTCCAATGGTCTGACTACTTCTGACACTCATGTTTTCAAAATTTTGGTGAGGTAGCTATTCTGTCGATACAGCCTGTAATGTGCTTACTCAGGCACTTACAGTATGACTTCGAGGCTGTAATTAAATAAAAGAGTGATAAACGGTGAAAAATAAAACTATCAGTGTTTTTTACAAACTAGACTTTTCTTACTGGACTTTTGGTTTCAATGTACAGGCATCCAGCTTCTTACTTCAACTTCGAACAATAGTGATAATAATTTATTCTCAAAAAACAACATATTGCTACGGACAAGCCAATTTTCAGACAAGATCAAAATGTTAAAATTGCTTAGGCATTTTTGTAAAACGTTGTTCAATTACTGAAGTATTTCACAAGATACGTTGGCTTCATATAGATGGCTAAAATTTTCCACATAAAATTATAGATAATTTTCAAGACTCTGCAATTTACAGTGCAAGTGATTGGCGCGAGTTACAACGGTTGCGTTACGACGAAAGAATTCAAGATAGATTCAGGTCTGCATATTAAAATCGATGAGATAAATGTGCTAAGATCTGATTGATATTCTTCAGATTATAAATTTACAGGCTCCTCAGTATTGTAGCCAAGTCTTCGGCAAATATCTAGACTAATATTTAAGGATTGGAATAAGGTGTTGGGAAAGAGAAGTAAAGAGAACGAGGTGAGGTGCAGAACAGAAAATACTCTTGTTGAAAGTCGATCAGTGACTCAGCAGACAGTTTTTTAAATGGAATACAAACTGTATATCTGCACTTTTGTAAGCTAATGAAGAAAATTCACCGGTTTCATAACGAATGGACAATTAATCTTATGAGTAAAGAAAATTCAGAAGTACCAAATTATTAGCAATAATGTTGAGTATAATAATGAAGCACGGTGATCTGATGCCTTTTTGATATTTTGTTCATTCCTTTTCTTTTTAACTCTGTGGCTAAAGAAGTCACGAGTGAGCTCTTTTTCAGTATAATTGTCCAGATCTGCTTGTAATAGGATTTCTCGGTAGGAGGTTAAAACCAGCGCAAAATTACGAACAAGAGTTGTAGACGAGGTTAACAAGGAAAAGTAACATCAACAGCATCAACAGGGAGCCGTAAGAAAACAAAATTTTCTGCCCCGCAGACATGGGTAGATTGAGGGTAACGCCCCGCCGTCATGAATGCTGGTGATGTTGGGCTCTCTTACATTTAATGGTAGACTTTAAACAATGTATTTTAGTCTACGTTCTATTTAATATACACCTCGTCGGAATACACCTTCTCTACTAGCTCCACGTTACAAGCGAACCGGACAACTTTACCTTCTGTATTAAGACAAAATATCCACGTAGAATATCACACTGATTTTAGGTGAACTAATGGTAAAAATTGTAAGATATCTGTCAGTTAATAGGTAGTTTGGAGGTAGGAAGGATAGGGAGCTAGAGAAAAAACAGTTGAAATAGTGTTAAAAATTAATGAGAAAATGGATAAATCGGTGAGCAGACAAGGTGTTTAGATGTTACTGAATTGGGTGAATACAAATTTAAGCGAAAAGGAACTCACAACGATACAGAAAGTTTGAGTTCCTTACCACTAACAGTATTTGAGTAGCATCTACAGGCTTTTCAGTTCATCTGTCTGCTAGAAATAAAAACTAAAACTGCTGTGAAGATTTGAAAATAATGATTGGAATTTAAACTTAGGGAAAAGTCCAAATGTCACGAGTAGCAACTCAAAGGTGTGACCTAATACCATGCCGTGAACTGTAACTTAGATCACGTAAGTTAGACAGATATATCGTTCTATTTTAGTTCCAGAAAATTGATACCAATAAAACGGTGCAGGTAAGCGTACTAAATTGATGACAGTCCTACGACTTCACACTCAATGAAAATACACTTTTGAATGGGCTCTAAGCCTGTTTGGTGTTATAAACTAAGTCTTGGCATATGTTCAGCTTTTACGGAAAATACTCAGCCATTATTCAGATAGATCCTCAATTTCAGAGAAAATTTCGAGTATGTCCTAATTCTCCTAGCGGTGAATTCGTCTACCATTCGAATGACCAACTTATCTTGACATCAATCTTACAACTGAAAACAATTTTACATGGCTCTGATTATCGAAACTGTTTTCAGCGAATTAGCAAGCTCATATAATGCTTTAAGAGCTTTTTCAAGTTCAGTTTGTCTGGAGATCGATAGAGTGTCTTGGAAATAGTGAGTGAAGCCAATATTGATGATACAACGAAAGGATATTTGAAGGTATCGTTGATCTATCAGTTAAAGATCTCGTATTCATAAGCAACAGACACATGAAATGTTCAGAAATATTGAACTGTATCCTTGCTAACAATGAACGGGTTGAGCCTCACTTTTTAATTACCGGCTGTTGAGAACTTGTATACTGAAATGGCGATTTTGTTGATTTCAAGAATTTCTCTTACAATCTCTTGTGTAGATGAACTGGAACTACCTTAATTTCTCAAACACTTTATCCATAGTCTCATAACCAACTGGAGTGCTTCATCCAAACTTTGTTAATTGGCTATCAAGCCACCTTCGTGCACTTAGGAAAAACAAACGGTCCCACCACAAAATCGTTTCCTTGATTTAAGAGTAGATTAGGACTTTGAAAGAGGGGATTATTGACCTCCGAATTATCAGGCTATAATTTCATCGTTCATTAAAAGCCAAAATTGAAGGATTTGTGGCTAAAAATTCTCGAAGTATGGGTCTACGAATTTCAGCGGCAAAAACAAATCCATAGTCTTTTCTGTAAAAATGTCTAACCCAGTAGGTGCTTACAGTCACAAATATGGTGGATGGATTTGTCCAACACCAATCATTTGATATCGTTATTCAGACGACTCCAAGGATGTGTCAAATGATATCGTCATGTTAAAGGCTATATATTGATAAGATAAATTCTTCTCCCAGATAGTCTTCTAGCACCGCTTGATAGCACCACACTGTGAAATTGACAAGCACTTAAATTCGCTACTTTTTTCAATAACCAAACGTAATAAAAATGTTCCGACCAAGCCGTGAGGTTTAAAGAACACAATAGAAATTTCAGTGTCAGAAAATTTCCGTCCGTTTTTTCAGTTCATCTCTCGTTTATCGCTTGTTAAGGATTACGTTATTGCTTTTGACCAGAGGGATAAAACATTATTTCCTCGAGTATACTTGCGTACACCTTCCTTTAATAAAATACTAATATATATAGAGATTTACTATGTGGTTTTGCTTCTTCAATGTAGTTCAGCATGTAGATACATGTAAATATTTTTCGTGCAGTTTTTTCACCCACGTATCTTCATGTTTTCACATTATCTTCGCAGATACCATGCTTTTTTTCTCAGATTAAGAGAAAGTAGGATCTAAGACTTCAGTATCCACCTATTTTGCCGTTTCTGTATATCATACAAAACATGACCCTTCACAACAAGCAACAATGACTAGATGCCGCCGGTTGCAGCAGGTAATAATGAGACAACTCGTTAATTACAAACCGACGACGTCCTAATGGACTGACGGAACGATAACTTCGAAGGTTTCGATAATCACATAAGACTTACATAAACGAGAGCTTCATCTACGACATAGAGAGAATTTCAGATTTCAACCCAATCTCTGATATGGTTTATAAAGGTCTACATTATCTAAGCAAGGAGGCTTCACTTGGCCAGGATATGGTTTGCTCTGCTATACTGAAAAAGCGGCTTGAATCCCGAGAAAACCGCTAGGTATTTGGTATAAACATTCCCAAATTGAAGGCACAATACCAAACCGTTGAAAGCTGATGAGTATCACATGAATTTTAAAGGAAGGCCTTCAGGCTACTAGTTATTAGTAGTTCATCCTCTACATGCAAAACATATGGATTTCTTGGAATATATGAGGGTCCATGCAATAACCTTATATCGATAAACTTTTCCCCAAGGCAACATGGTTTCAAGAAGAAACAGTAGTTTTACAGTCCTGCTGACTGCTTCGGATAGATGAACAACCATCCCTTATCACAAACGAAAAGTAAATGTGATTTCACTGACTTTTCCAAAGCTTTTGATAAGGTCAATCAGCTATGTCTCGTCAATAAGAAGAAACCGTTAGGAACCAAGCTAACTTTGAGAGACGAATTATAGCAAAATGGACAGCTGCATACTTTCTACTCACAAGCAGTCAAATTCTGTAATATATTAATCAATTAATGTGGTCCAATCAGCTTCCTGAGAAGGAAATTGACATATTTTTAAGCACGCAGGACAGATTAGCATCATAATAGGATTATATTTCTCTCTTACTCAGTTAGTGGGTCTAGGTTGTGATATGGAGAAATTGGTGATCCGCTACTGGTGAGCCCTTTAAACGAAAGCTCCTTCTATTCCGTCTCTCACCACTTGAACCTTTCGAGCTCGTAGCGCATGTTACGGTTTTTGCGTTACTAGTTGTCGTGCTTCAGGAAACTTCGTTAACAATATAACCGGATGCTGTACTCTTAGTTTCATTACAGCTATAGCAACTGCGGAAATTATTTGGTACTCTTGTAAGTAGTCTTATATCTGGTTTTATATTGTCCTTAGTGGACTTAATTAGTGCTTGTTTCTTAAATTTGTTGGCTAAAACACCAATTCTTAACCCTTTTTCACTTTAGTTTGGATGAAAATTTAATCTCAATTCACTCGTCTACAATAACAAAACTCCTGTATCTACTCTTCAACATGTCAGTAGGTCGACCTTGCTCACTATGTTATCTTTTCTGATTAGTATTTAGGGGCTAAAATCAGCATATCTCGTCGTGTTACTAAAATACTAGAATTCTCGTTAATGACTTACGGGCTTCGATTTTACGATCCTCAAAAAAGTGTGACCATCTGTACCATAATAAGTGTAGCATCAATCCTTATATGTTAACCTTTTTAATCGTCGTCAAGTCTCATGTAGATGATACTTTGAATTGTGAACTGATTCATTAAGATATACGCCGAAGGTTCACCTGTTTCTGCTGTGTTGGTAAATAGTTGTGAATTATTTCGAAGAGGCTACTCTCAACACACCTAAGTTTTATAAAGCTCAGATATTTTACAGTTACAGGTGATGTGGTTAATACCAAATGACAAATATAAAACCTATCAACCCAATAATGCACCTCGTCATAAATAATGTCTAGTATATTTTTCAAGCAAATTAGTGTGGATCGACACCCTTGTTTGACGAACCTTGTAATTAATTACACCCTACCTTTAACTTGCCAGGTCTAATTCCGAATTCCCATTAAGCCCTCTCTGTTTTCCTACTAAATTAGCTCGGTGATACATACTTTATGTCGAAATTACTTCGTGTAACAGCGTCGGCCGTTTTCAAAATAGGATAAAGCCTAGGGTTTACCTTACAAACCACTACGAGTGCTGGGGATACGATGTACTGACTAATCAACGTAACAAAGCTTGTTACGCAGGCTTTACTTTCAATTAGTGGAGAATGTTTGACTTTAACCTGTTAGCACTATAAATGTAATAGCTATTTAATCAAAGCACTAGTATAACTATCAGGAGACTCCACGACGTTACAAACAACCAGCTTTGTTACTGTATATCTTCATGCATTCGCAATTATGTATAGAAAGTAAGTACTATTACGATATTAAACTGATCTGAATAAGAACATTAAGGACTTGAAGGCACTTCATGAATGCTTCATCCTGGTGTGGGACTCCTCAACAATGTGCATCCACGTCTACATATAAGAAAACCAAACTTAAAGCCTTGGTCCTCTCTTGAACACAACCACTGAGTTTGCATCCGACGGTGTTAGTGTCAAACTTTAATCAACAAATGACCATCTTCCTTTATTTTCGGTGGGTAACTGTCCCACATTATAGCTCCACTTGTCACCGTCTCCCATTAGGACTAGCGATTCCCTTTCGAAGCTGATCACTAGTAAGCACATGATAATTGTAAGTAAAGGGTCGTGGAGAATAATGAAAGATGGTCGCTCAATGTGGATTGATTGAACTAAAACATCGTTGGATCCTGCTTCAGTGGTTTTAGTTATTTATTTAAGAACATTGCTACAAAGGAGCATCTAGATATTTATGTACCACACAAATCAGTGAACTCATTGATGGGCTGGCACATTTTCCGGATACCCAAACAAAAGCAAGTGGTTCTCTGAGGTGATTACTCTCCGAGTATTTGACCCAGAGGTATAATTTACAAGGTAGTGGAGCGACACCAGGAAATGCAGTCCATGGTAGCTGATAACCAACGAAAGGTTCATTATTTGTTCTCCCATGATCCTGGAGCCCATATGCACCATCGGTTTATGATGAGGATTTCTCAACTCCTCTAGGTGGATCCCCCGTACCCACTAACTTCGTCCACACCGCTGCCATGAGAAGACTGAATTTCTACTCATGGCCATGTGGGAACACTCCAAGGATGACAGAAAAGACTCTGTTTACTCTTGGTGTGGGGGGTAAAGGTTGAGCGTTCCCGAGACCAAAGTTACAGGGTTCGATCCCGATATGCAGTGTCATGGGTGCGCACTGCCAGCCCCATATTGGGGCGAAGTGACTGTGTAGCGCTTCCAGGCTTTCAATGACGGTCTGATTTAGACCAGCTCATAATTCCAGTGAAATTCAACAATCTCCACAACCCTATATTTGAAATGAGTATTATTTTGTAAAACCTCAATTCTTGTTGTGCTTCCCTCATTCCTCTTACTTTGCCACATTTTGTTGATATCTCGACCTTTGTAGACATATTAAACATGATTCATCTTTTATTTTTGATACACTAGGCTGGTAAATTTTTAGTTTCATTCAGGGTCTCGTGTTAACCAAGTCAAACTGAAATAATTTCAACGAATTCGACCTGATATATCCTCAGATGGAAGCAAAGTATTTTGATCTTGATATTCCTTTCGAAGCAATGGACGCATGTCTCCTTGCACGTTTGCTTGATTGTGGTTATAACTATGTGGCGATCAGTCAGTCTGTATCGGTAGATGATTTTAATTTTGAGGTGAAATCAGATTCCGCTATCAGGAAAAAAAACAAAGAAGAAAGGCAAGCTATGCGTCAGAACCTTATCGCAAAGTTAGAACCTCCTTCTCCAGATACTCTTCAAGCTTTTATTGATGAAAGTAGTGTGTTCAGAGCTTCTGTATCATCTCCCACAATAGCATGCAAACCACGAATATTCACACGTTTGACAATATACTGTAATAATGCTGAAAATGCTGGATTATTCTTCCGCCAATTTGAGGACAAACTTGCCGCCTTCAATATTGTAAGCTTCTGTCCTACTTCAAATAGTGCTTTCGCATATGCATGTGAGAAGGCTGTGAACATTGATCTTATATCTCTAGACCTTACAAAATCAACTGAAATCCGACTGTTGAGTAAACAGTGCAATATGATGATGTCACGAGGTATCCACTTAGAATTTCAACTTTCTCCTGTACTTCGTTCTTCTTCTGGGACCTACAGCGCACGTTCTGTTTTATCACAATACTTTAGCAGTTTACTTTGCTTAGCACGGAAGTCATTTACAAATATGATAGTCGTCAGTTCCGGGGCGTCTAGCGGATGGGAAGTTCGTCGACCTGTGGCTGTATCTGCAATGCTAAGCTGTCTAGGTCTGCAACCTTCGGAAGCTACTCACTCATGCCTTACCAAAGCGCCTTTCGCAGTAGTAACACATGGTCTTATACGAAGTAACACAATGCATGGTGCGGCTGCTTTCCTCAAACTTTTGTCTATGCCAAATGTGTCTAATATAGTAAATAAACCTAGTGTAAATAAACGACCTATAGACGAAGCTAGTTGTGTGGAAGATAAATCAACCTGTAAAAAGGCCAAACTAACTTAATAATCATTTGTTATTCAATTACTTGTATAAAACGTGTATGCCCCCTTGTAAGATATACCGCCAACTTTTGTTACAAAGATATCTTTTTCGTACCAATCATATCATTTTGTCAAAGTAAATTAGACGAATGTCAGTGGACAGAAAATATATATTTAGGATAATTTTATATGCGTATATCTGGTTGTAGAATCGGATATGGAAAAAACTGCTTTGAGCTTTTGTATACTTAAACAACACGTTAATTTGAAAACCACTCCTTGGTGCTCATAATCGTATAGAGAATTAGTTTGGTCTCGAACATACCCACTAAACCAGGTCATACCCAATATAATCAAACATTTAGACGGATTTCGTCAAGTAGTGCAAATTCTTTTATATAAACATATTATACACATTGATGTTGAAATGTTAAGCGGGTTAGATAAATTAATATTTTGATTTTTTCAGCAAACCCGGGCGCCAGTACAACGGATGTGTTTCTTCCGTCTGAAAAATAAAGCATACGCGATTGATTTATTTACAAGGTTATCATTGATGGCGTGGAATAAGACAGCCAAGATAAAATTGAAAATCTTGCTTCCTAGACGTTAGGCACCAGTTGAGCATGTGTAATACACGTTCCAACTACCTAAGTCAATGGTACAGCATTTAATTTCAGTACAACTCATTTGATAATCCTACTAAATAAAGCAAATGCTCGGAAAGTACTTGTGATCTGTTCGTACAGTCAGTACTCGCTTCATTCCAAAAATAGTGTAATTTAGTGAAGAGCAAGCGGTCGTCTTTATTCAATCAGTCATTTAAAAGTAACGTAGAACCTAGGAAACGTAGGTCGGTCTAACTCCCTAAATATATCAAGAACACAAGGACGAATACCGAATAAGTAGTAACCGAATCGGCTATGTAACGTATCGTATGGAAGGTCACTGATATATGTATTAATGTGTTTTCTCATGGTACACAACCATTTTAATAAAAAATTTATACTTCTATATTCCATTGTTGTTAAGACAACTGCACGATATAACAAGTAAAAGAAGCTTTAAAAGTAGGATTCTCACCGCTAACAATTAAGTGACACTCATAATTAGACTAGAACTATTTTGTGATGGAAACTGAAGTGGATGTTAACAGATATGCCTTATTTTGACAGCTAATGATACTATGAAGCTCATGAACTGTAAGTTGGAAGTTTTCAGAACCCCGAGTAGAAACAATACTCACATAACCTTGCAAGGAAAGATTTTATGGAGGTGGTCATATTGAATTTGGAAGAAGTATATACTACAAACTAACAGTCACAGACTACCTGGAGTCCAAGTTTACTTACAACTTCTATCGATATTATTGAGAAACAACTATCTCTACGGTTAGGTGCATTACTTTCATCCTAGTCTAACAAACTTAGTATCTCCTAGCTATCATAAAGGAATTTATCTTAGATAATAACAAAAACCACAATTACCGCGGTTTCATCTTCTTTGAAGATTTTAATTGATTTGTCTGCTTCACAAGATACCAAACGTGATCCACTACGATCGAATGCTAAGGCAAATATCCCAGCCTCAGAATCAATACTACCAGGCTGAACTTGAGCTTGAAGACGCTGAAAGTTGTACCCAGATTTCCAATCCCAAAAGTGAACACTGCCATTATCACCTGAAATAGACAAAGAAAAGCCAGTGGCGAAGATGGATCTCTTAACGTATACGATTGTATGTAAAAGAAGTTATTGGAATAGAAAAAATGTACAAAAACTAATAAGTACCTCCACTGACGACCACATTGTCTTGGTTAACAGTGATGGCGTTAATGATAGCATTATGTCCAGATAGATTCTGAAGAAAGACACCATTGGGGAGTTTCCATTGTTTTATATTATCTGGTGATCCAGAAATAAACGCATTCCTGAAAGATATGAAAGTGGTATAATGTCAAATATAGTCTAAGATGATGAAATAAGCTAACTATACTCATCACTAGGATAGCTTTCTTATTAGGTTACCTATTGAGCAAGGCAAAAAAGATGTATACCTTCTGGCTGTTGTAACCGATGACCACTTTGAAGTTATCTCCTGTAACTCAGCAATTTAGCGGACAACTTTGGAGTTTAAGTTGGTGCGCATACGTTCACAAGCACATTACTATGCAGGGACATACTAATTCCATCCCAAAGGTGAGAAGCAAGTCCTTCATCTTACTGCTGGCTACGTAGATTATAGCCAAAACATAACCTCATAGGTTATTAAATCATGAATAGAACTGGGGAAGTGTTCCCCACCTACCTACTCAATAATTGGTTTGGTGCATAAATATTTAGGTGTTACTTTGAAGCAATGTTGATGTGCTGCGATAAGTAAAAGCAGAAATGGAACACTCGTAAAAATTTCAAATAAGGTAAATTCTCAAACGTGATATTAGTGATAACTAGTAAGCAAAATTATGTGGTCCTGCCTCGCCTAATGTTACAAAAGTGATCAGACAAAATATGCGTTGAATTTGAAAACTTACTGAGTTGGATGGATACACAGAGCCCGGACAGACTTCTTATGATTTGTCAGACAGGCTATGGTACGTCCTGCTGCTAAGTCCCACAGGCGGACAGTTGCATCATGTGATCCAGTGATCACTTGAGGATCAGATTCCTGACAACGTACCGTTGCTACTGTATTTGAATGTCCTGTTAGAGTATGAACATTGACCTAAAATAATGGTTAACAGTTAACGACTAATTACATAGAAAAATTTTTAAAATGAGGAACTACTTAAAAGCTATTGCTTTCTGATTAGTGAAAGATTGTCTTGAATCGATTGATAAAAATAAGTGTTCGGTTAGAGACCTTTGTTTACAAACCTAACAGTAGCGTCTTTCCACAGTATCTACAACTAGTTACGTAAAGAAAAGGTGGGACAGACATGTAAGTTACCAGAAAATTATAGGATGAAGTCTTCCTAAAAATACAAGCTTACCAAATGTATACAACCTAAAAAGGACCAGTAATCTTCTCAACCTTAAAGAATGGGAATTCCTTAGAGGGAGTTTAACAGCATTTGTAAGTAGTGACGAACTAACAAACAATTGTACTAGGGCCCTATTTGACTGAGTGTATCTGTGAGTACATCAATCAATGCAAAAAACACGACCGAGGTTAACTACGAATAAAAATGATAGAACATCATACAAAAGAACATAAGTGAACGAAAATGGATTCCAGTATACCAAAATAAAGTATGATTCAACCAAGTTACACATGTAGGAATACTTATTTATTTTATTACTGGGAAAGCAATTATACTTCAAGCGCTTACCATCATCAGCTGACATTGACTAAAAAGCTTCCTATTAAATAGATTTTCTTATACTCCAGTTATCAACATTTTTCCTTATCCGTGACACTTACTGTGAAGTCAGTAAGTGATCTTGAAATTTATTCTCATATCGTTAAAAAAAAACTTCTTGATGTTTAAACTAATATAAGAGACATGCTCCACTAGCCAAAACTACAGAATGTTATATTGCTGGTGTATGTCGTTTCTAATCAAGATCCCGGACTAGGGATCCGGGTCGAGTCCGGATCATAGAACGTTACAGATGATGCGTATTTATACATTTAGGTTGAAGAAGAAAAAGCATCGAAGTCTGTGACATTGACAGCTAAGACGACCAATAGGAAACAACATTTGAAGTGACATTTAAATTCAGGACTACCAATAAGTACGTGACATTGATATCTAGGACGATCATAAAATTGACCGGTAGAAATTAACCAATAGGAATTGACCAATAATCCCCTTAGAGTATTGGATGAATATCCTAACACAGGACTCAAATGTGGTTATTAACGTGACTATAGTTGATAAGTCAAAACAACTTGCGCAGTTAACTCTTGAAGTACTACCAATCGGAAGATTCGAATAATCAATACAAATGGATTAATCTCCACCCACTTATACAAGGGAGTGGCTATCTGGGCTCGATAACTAAATGGATAATGGTGTTTCAAGCGAACGATACTGGTTTCGAGTAACGAAGTTAATATCAACTGTGAGATGCAGGCACGTCTAACTGACAATTTCCAAACAGGACGAAACGCAAGACCTGGATTTTACTGCTAGCAGACAGTGCATATTAAGGAAGAAGCCAAGCAGTCTTCACCTACTTTGTGGTCCTCATTATCTACTGGTACTTCAAGAGGTTGGTCGACTCAAGCTAAAGAGACTGTAACAAACTTTGCTTTTTTAAGGAGTACTACTTTCCCTGACACATTGCTGTCTAGTAAAATTTTGCATGGACAAAATCAGGATACAGATTTGCGCTGAAAGTTAAACAGGTGAGCACACAACAACTAAAAATGTTAACTTGACGGAAAAATCAAACCTGTCGCTATTTAATAGCTTACTTTGGTTCGCATGTCCCATACTCGTGCAGTTGCATCCCGACCACAAGTAAGGACTACATCGATTGTTGGATGAATATCAATATCATAAACAGCAGACATATGACCATGATAATGACGAATAACCTTTACATCCAAGTATATATTACAGAACTGATGAGTACCTTATTTTGTTCTAAATCCCAACAACGCACCGTTTTATCTTCTCCACATGAAAATAAATATGGATGACGAGCACTCACAACGACACCTCTAACTGTACTTATGTGACCTGTCAGTGTCAGTTTTAACGTTCCACTAGCAAAGTCCCAAACCTAGATAATAAAGTAAAAGCACACTAGATGAAACATACTTTGATCATCCGATCTGCTGCACCAGTAACAAAGAAATCATTGGTAGGGTCAAAAGCTACACAACGCACCCATCCTGTATGACCACTGACAACCTAAAATTCTTTAGATAAAGTATTTAGTATCAAATTACTCGACATAATTTCCATGGTGGATGCCACGTGGGTTTAGGCATAGTTGGAGCTTTCTTCGGAAGCAATAATTTTTCATTACCGATTTGAACTATAGAAGCGTTCTGTTCAAGTGCGGATCTTTAAAAATATTTATTACATAAACTATTGACTAACTTTGGTTTGACTTTTTCAGATGGGACGATAGCTCCAGATTGTGATGTGTCGGAAACATCTAAAACAGATAGAACAAAAGGTCACTTACTTTCTTTGGGTTTTAGTGGATTTTGACTAGGCTCCTTAAGTACAGGTCCATATTGATCTTTTGCCTTGATAGCAACTTTCAACGAATTACTACACAAAATGACGAACGATAATAGTAATCTACCTCTTCTCATCAACTTCTGGAAGACGACTCTGATCAGCTTCAAACATATCATGTGTTCTTTTGAGGGAGCGAAAAACAAGTGTGTGGACAGAGTGGCGCTGAACCACCTACAGATCCAACTTATTACCTTTTTTCCATAAAAACTAACCTCCATTTTGCAGAATTAAGCTATTAGTGAAGATAAATTGGTTTTGAGTGATTACAACTTGTCAGGAACTTTGTTCAAATAATATATCATACACAAATTTAGTATGGTGATGAAACAGTTGGGAAAGTTCTAAAAAATTGTCAAAGGGATTGTGATATTCATGTTGACAACTTGAAATTGTTATTTTAGATCGTTAAACTAGAGGGCGTAAAAGATGACATGTTTTACCAGATTGAAAAAGTTTAGTCGAAAACATATATTTGAACTAAGTAAATTAAATCAGGATGTGCAGGACTGTGAAGGGAATTATTTATCCCTAACATCATAAAGAATTTAAAACATAAATGATTTTCAAGTGATTAAATATGGTAAATAACGAATCTAGCACAATCGGTGTCTTTGTAGCTTATATAAGCAACCGGTGACTCCTTATACAAATACTTCGACTCGCCTTAAAAATCTAAAATTTTAGCTTGTAACAGGTAATATAAAATTCGGCTCAACCATGCAATGCAAGTTCATATCACCCTCCAAATAATAATAACAGTTTAAAATTATATTCCGAGAATAAACTAAACTCCGTTAACCACAAACCTTGTCCAAGAGCAATGTTTCAAAGTGCCACTTTCCGGAACTGAAATACAGTGAGTGGTTTTTGTATATTACGGCTGAAATGATGGAGAATTTTTCTGAAGTTGTACAATTTTGAAGAAGATTATAGACGATTTTTACAATGATCACTACTCTTTAATTGATATGAGGAACGAAATAGAAAAAGTTAACCACACGAAAAAGCTACCGGAAGGTAGACAGAAACTTCAGGAAACGGTAATCTTATAGAGACAACCTGCGTTAACCTGAGCGAAACTTAAGGTGAGTTTTTGAAATTTAGACCTTTATTGAAGCCGGAAAGCTTTAGTGTGCGTCTTATTGGCAGTCACTGGGTTTAGTGTTCCGGTTTCTGAAAATAGTTATCGAAAAGCATTTAAAAAATACATTTGAACAACGTTGGATTGAAATAAATAACCTAACTCTACGTACCTTTTGAAAGAACTAAGTTGTGAAAATATGTACACTACTTAAACATCCTCTTCAGATACGATTCAGATCTTTTACGAAGAATATAGAGGTTTACTACCAGTATAATTTCATAGACCCTGGTATAGTTTACACTGAGTGGCTTAAGTATTAGGCATTGTAGGAAATCCGGTCAAATTGCTAGGAACTTACGCAGTGCCAAGAAAATAGTTTTAGACCTCATTTTTCTTCACTTTTTAACCGAATCCGGACAACAAAATGCAACAAAGGAGACAGGAAGCCAGTAACGACCAGAATCATAGTAGCATACATATATTTCGGTTGAGTAACCTAATCTTAGAACCTATTACAGAAGACAAAGTCTGTTATTCAAACAGACTCGTACGAGAGAACATTACACACATGAGGAATACAAAAGTTAACAGAATCACACATTTGTTATTAGTTTAGATATACATGGAATAGTTTAATAGCGTGCACAAGAAATTGATTAAGAAAAAGCAAGTAGTTAGTAATAGTAAGCATGACGCACTCGTAGAAGTAGGTAAATAATACGAACCCGAATGCGAAGCTGTAGACACCGTAGCGTATAAGAACAAACTTTGAGCTGTAGAAAAAAATTCACATTCCAATATTCAATATCTAATCGAATATATTTCTCACGAGCTAGTATAAATGGATTATTTCTTTTGCGCTCGATTCTAGTTCTCTCGGTACGGTTTCTTGTTTTTGGTAGTGCCCAATGGAAGAGGGTCCAACCATTCGACTATCTAACTCTAGTCATGTCACAGTTGTTTGTGGGTTCGTATGTCCCGTGATTTGAACGAATACCTTTGTTTCATGGCAGTAGGGTTACTGGGTACCAGCAACTATCACATTACCAGACCGGGGATCAGTTAGTTGCAATGTGGAGAATAGTAAGGAGAAAATTCTAGTGCGGATGAGATTTCAGGACTAGGTAAATAAATAAAAAACTTAGTTTACTAATTCGTGGTGAGGATTGTGAGAGGGGACCGAAGTGTAAGCAAGGGAGAGTAATCAGAGATAATAGACGAAATAGATTAGGGAGCGGACTTTCATTGAGGGTGTAAATCGTTTGCGTCATGTGGGGCAGAATATACATGACGCGATATTTCTGCTGGTTTAGTTTTAAACCGTTTTTCCCTACCCATTCCCCGATGTCTGTAAGGTCATTTTGGAGATAAGTCAAATCCTCTTCGCTTCTCATGGACCTCCAGATCTTTGCATCGTCTGTGTAGATCAATGCCGCTGAGTTATCTGAGCCTATTTCCGCAACCTTTGCGATTAAGGGTGCGTGGGGCACTGAGTCGAAGGCTTTTGTAAAGTCGAAAAATTTTACATGCGCCGGTATTTTACGGTAGTAGTAATGTTACTGGTCTGTAACAGGCTGAGTCCTTCCCATCTCCTCTTTTGAAGATTGTAGAGAGAGTGGCTTGTTTCCATTTGGCTGGGAGTTGGCACGAGTACAGCGAATGTCTGGACACAACACGTATCAATAGTCTGAGTGCTTCCCTACAGTGGATTTTGGGACTAATATTGTCAATGCCCAGTGAGTTTCCCGTGATTAAGGATTTTTGTTTCCTTTGTACTAAGTCAGGAGCAATATGGATATTCCCTAAGCCGTCAAGTGGCACTGAGGCTGTGTAGTGTAGAATCTTTTTTGAATGTTTTGTTTTTTGGAAAATCCCTCCATGTATATGCATTTGTGTTATGATATGACTGACTCTTTCTGTTGACATTTTGGTACTCTATTTGATTCCATTTTGAGATTTTATCATTGTATATTGTTATTATTTCTATATCTTGTACTTATATTGAAGTTTTATATGTTTGCTTCTGAACTGTACATATGTTGTTTAAATTTGATATTTTATATGGCTACAGCCATATTTGGATTTGATACATCGACTGTACGGACTGGAAGCACATATTCTTCCAGAAACGGATACCCACCGCGATAAATTGGAGTTGGAAGTTGTAATAATTGTTGGGTAATTGTCTGTATTTCTATTTTATATTAAATAAAGACCGTTTTCTCCCAGAATTTTTGCGTTTTGGTATTGGATCTGGGACATCGCGTACCAACGTGCACCTATTGGAAACGAAGTGAACTGCTGGGGTAGAAAATCCATCTATATGTAGTACTCTGAACATGTGGATACCTGGCTTAACTGATCAGGGAAGTTTGTGTTGAAGTTCTCAGCCATCTTTAGGTTGGTGAGGTCTTCTCCATCAGGACCTTTGAGAGAACACAAATCCTGATTCATGAGTATTCTTTCAGTCATGAACCTTAACAGATGCTCCGGGTTTGCCAGTATTTCGAGAGCTAGCTTCAGCTCAAAGCGTCTTCCATCCTTTCGAACTTTGGTATTGCATCTGTTTCTCAATGACATGTAAGATCTACGATCGAAATCCTTTAAGGAGACCTTATACTTGCACCAGGCTCTCCTCTTCTTCTGTAGCAAGCGCTCAGTGCCAATTCCAAACATTATTTTTCTATTTTCGGGTGTATGGTGTGACTGAGGTACATTTTCGAGGACAACATTGTGGATGATGTCTCTAATTGTTTGCCAGATATCATCTACTGTCAGCCTCCGCCATTTCTGTAGCCATGAGGCACGTAGAATGCTCTCTCTCGTGAGCGTGTTATTCACCTTGTTGTAGCAATTGTAAAGTTGGTTTTGGCCCCGCCTTAGTGTTTCGTTTATGACCATATTAAACAATAGTGCGCCATGGTCACTACTTTCTATTGGTGTATGGACATTAACATCCTTGATTAGGGGCTGATCATTTGTTAACAAATAATCCATCTCCTTAGTCCATCCAGTGGCACTGCATAGTGCTCATTAAGCACAGAGCTTATAATGGCTGCTGCATGTCGTCTCTGGAGTCAACCAGTGTGAGTTTTACCATGATTTCTGAGATTTAGAGATGTGTCGTATAGATCCGTAGCTAAGATCTGCTGCAGTATTGCCTGATTCAGTTCATCTTTCCGAGCCTTAGTTAACTGGTTAATAACCACGCGGAGTGGCGACCTGTTGATGCTGTAAATGAATTTCTACAGTGGCCGTTCCAATGGGTTCCAATAGGTGCACTCCTGTACTCGATTCTCCCAGTCCCAGGTCCAAACAAATCAAAAAAGGACAAAAATTCTAGGAGAAAGCGTCTTATTTAAATAAAAACATGGAAATACAAAGCATTGCCTGGAATTAATGCTCCTTCCAGGATATAATTACTCCGAAGAGTATCAGAAACAGTGATAGATAAGTGACGCTAAGTCCAGCGGCCACTGCATCAAACCAAATATGGCTGTAGCCATATTAAAGATCAAATTTAAACAACATATATACAGATCAGAAGCAAACACAAAAACTTCAATATAAGTACAAAATATAGAAATAATAACAATATACAATGATAAATCTCAAATTGGAATCAAATAAAATACCAAAAATGTCAACATAAAAAGTCCGTCATGTCATAACAAAAATATGTAAACATGGAGGGATTTTCCAAAACACAAAACATTCAAAAAGATTCTACAGATGCTATATCCTAGTTGACACTGGAGGCAGTTTTCGCATGCACACAAAATGTCGTTGGACTTTATCTGCCATACAAAACATCGCTGCTCCTTGGTGTGAAAAATTCTTCTGGCAGAGGCAGTATCGTGCGAAACACAAGCTCAGAGGAGAAACATTGAGTATTTGTCGTTAATGCTCTGTAATCGCCACACTGTCTCCGAGCAACATCATCGATTTTGCGAACCGAGTGGAGATCGAGGCTCAAGGAGTGTTGCCCGCGACATAATTAAACACTAGTGGAATCTCTTCGGTTTTGTCAGCTGAGAAAATTTGTCGAATAAACGGAGGACTATGTCGTCACGCGAATGAAATACACCTGTGATATGGTATACGTTTGTTTAACTTCACAGCTCTTGAATTTTCTGTTCGATGAAGTATCGATTATGTGCAGCTTACATGAATCGAGTAGCGATTCATGGTGCTGTAGGAAACCGATACCGAAGATGGCTGTGGGAACATCGACAATGATGAATGTTCACAGATACTACCTTCGGTTGCTCAGGTTGATCGTTGGTAGGAATAACTGAGCGATTCGCAACTCTCAGTCAAAGCACCGTAGCTTGAGACTTGTTTTTACCGATTGGCACGACAGGGACTTGGGCACCTCTGTCCACTAGGTACCTGGCGTTAGTGCGATAACCATGCACGTAAAATAAGCGACAAACGTGAAGCGAGGGACTGACGAGTACGACCATGTTTGCTTTTTCACCTGCGAGCAGGGCACTCGATACCGGCGACCACCGGACGTAGGGAACTGGAAAGATGGAGTATTTCTGACTGTGGCTTGTAACGCAGCAAAACTCAAATTGGGTTCAGGATGGCGCAAACCAGACTTCTGCATCATCGGGGATGAAGGAAATATGTGGGAAATTATTAATTCTTACCTCGAGGTCTATCATATTATCATTATTCTCATGACTGTCCACCATTTCGAAAAGTTGCTACAAGGATAATGTATACTGAAGAATATCAAATATGTAAATACATCAAAACAAAAAATGGGGATTGATGAATTATAGATAAACTGTATTTAGCTATTATATAAAAAAAAGTTAGCTCATCGGATATAGTGGCTCGAGTCGAGGTTGACTATGAACACAAACTAATTACGTTCATGCCCCAAATCGTAATCCCGTCATGAACAAAAAACTGAAGAGAAGATATAATCCAGAAGAGGGCGTATATTTGTTGGCGACGTCATGCTACAGAAAGAATACCGAGATCGTGTCAAAGAATATGGGCAAAGATGCAACGAGCAGCATAACCAAGAAGAAACAAAACAAACGGGAAGACGAATAAACATGAAGTTAAGTAAAACAATCACTTGTACAATAATGAATGTTTCTATTCAACCGATCGCGTTTTCTTCGTAAAAGTTGAGTCACTGCAGTAGTTAAATATTGATAAATATTGGTAAGGATCTCTATAGATCTAACAATACTCTAAATTAAAATATATTTTGAACCGAGAAATAATAAATTAAAGTAACAGTAGATTGTAATGTGAATCTCCTGTGATATTTATTATGTCAAGAATTTGAAAATAAATAAACAGACACAGTAAACCTTTTAATAAACGTTGCGTTAGACCAATTAGGAAGGAGATTGACTAATACAGATCTTGACTAAAAACTAGTCAGTGTAGTGACTTACTCAGGATATCCAAAATGTCTTGGCAAAGGATACTGGTAACCTTAACTACAATTTTAGTCTCAAGAGATGTAAATGCTAAATAATGAGAAAATGTAAATTTGTCTTTTCATGTAGTTAAATTAAATGCCTCAGGAGTTGTCCTTCGTCTGAGCTGAAAACAGACATTTGAATAGTTTCATAAAACTTAAGAAATATGACACTTAGGTAACTTGTTTCGGGTAGAAACTCAGATTTGAATGATTAGTTAAGATTATTAGTCATATCATACCTGCGTTGTTTAGTGTGTAATGATTTCACTTTTGTGAAGAAAAAGACGATTGGTTAAATAACAACATTCATTATTATAACCAAATG